ATCAATCGCTTAATTTTTATGTTATCACTGTAGTATATTACTTATACCCAAAGTATTTTATGAAAAGCAGCGATCCTTCATATCAAAATGTATTGTACATATATTGAGTTAAGAAAAATCGATCTACTTGTATGAGTTTGTTGCTTTATATTCATTTCACTAAAAGCTGATACAGAAATTGCCTTATGACTAACACAGATATAAACAAAAAATATATTAAACAAGAGAAATTTATATTTCAATATACGTCATATATTTAGAGAAAGGAAAATAGTCTGTAATAGAAGGAAATGAGTGCTAAATTAGAATAGCAATAAGTGTGTGTGTTGTTACTTCAATGTTATAAGGATGAAATCTATACTAATATTATAAAGCTGAAGAGTTTGTTTGTTTGTTTGTTTGTTTGAAAGCGCTAATCTCCGAAACTACTGCTTCGAATTGAATTATTCTTTTTGTATTGGATAGTCCAGTTATCGAGGAAGGCTGTGGGCTATATAACATCACGCTACGACCAATAGGAGTAAAGATATAGTGGTAAATGTGTAAAAAACGGGAGAAATTATTTCATCTTTGAAGCCTTCCGTTGCGTGCGCCGTGAAAACGGTTCAAGATACACAAAAAATATGTATTAAAGAATAATGGCTCTTTTAATGATCTAAAAAACAGTCCGCGACAGTATATGTCTATCTTTTAAGATTAACTCATAAAAACCGTTTTTATGGTACCTAATTTGGTCGAAATAATTTGTTTAAGTTGTATCAACATAATAATATTAATCTTTATTCAAATAAACAAATAAATATGTTGTTGGTTAAGAGTACTTTATTGTGAATAAAAAAAACATAGGTTTTATCCTGAAAATTCTACGGGAACTCGACCATTCCGAAAACCCCGCAAGAACGGGAAATATGTGAACCAAAAATCTGCCGGAAGTCACTATTCCACGCGGACGTAGTCGCGGCAAAAGCTAGTAACTTTATATTAACGTCACGAATTAAATATTATAAAATTTTAAACAATAGACAAAATCTATTTACGGAGGCAAAAATAGAAGAGAAATCGTCTTAATTATGTTCAAAGTTTTCCTGTTGCTTGTCATCATATTGTTTGAAGACAATGAAACTGGTTTGTGAATGGAAAACTGGAAGTACTGCGTAAATACTAAGTAGTATAGCGAGTCAAACTTGTGTTAAAGTGTCGAAGACAATTGTCTTTATCCGTGTAGTTAGAACAGTAATAGACAATTCTTGTCTTACTACGGAAATTTTGAAGTATGCTATTCGACTTATGATACAGAAAAAACCGTAGCTAATAGTATTTCAACTATAAATAATGACAAATTTTGCTGTAATCTTTTGTTATGTGTATCGATATATATAATGAAATTCTATTTATTTATAAAAAAATTGAATTTTGATCATAATTATAAACACAATGTTACTTTCTTTGCTAGAAATATTGTTTTATTTAACAAATAACTATCAAAACTACAATGTAAAAGCGATGAAAACTTTTAACTGCCTCAGACATTAAAACAGAAGGTCGAATTTTATCAGCCTTAACCTAAACATACAACTAATATAAAATCTCATATACAAACTATTTGTTATGTAACCTACTTTTAATGAAATTTGTGTGCTGTACAGAATTCTTTTTCTTTGAACAACAATCAGCTGGTTTGTTAGGATGTTTCTAATAATTACATTTAGAAAAATTTAGCCTCGAAATGTTTATGGAATCGATAAAACAATTAAACCTGGCATGCTCGCTTATATAAAGGACCAATTAGTGTCATGAATTCCCGCCATAATTCAAATCAGATAACGATTAAATAGCGTTTATAATAAAACTCTTTTTTTTACATAAACATGAACACTGATTCATGTTGATTGTTGAGTATACTTTACGTAACTTTCGTAACAAAAATTTAATAGAATTGTTTGAAAACAAAGGATTATGTCAGATGCTATAAACATTAAAGCCGTCAAACAAAGCTTAAGATAACGTAAACAATATAGATTTATATTGATTTTCATCAAACACATGTATGGTATTTAGTACCCGAGCCTATAAAAGTACCAGATTTTTGGTTGTGTTAAATATGGCCTACATTAGTGCAAAAACATGCATACTATTGTCTGTAAGTGTCGTGTAGAATGAAGGAGACATGATAAATGTAACAGTTCTATCGATCCCCCCAGCCGTGACATTGACCGCTAGTTTTAATGACAGAGCTATACGCGACACATTACCATGCCCTCACTATTGTTCAAGTCTACAAATAAAGCCTTTCTCAATCTCGACTAACATTAGTAACTACTTATATGCGGTTCATTACCAGCTAGAGGTTAAAAGAAACTAATTACCTTAATCTATATACAGGGTGACTGGTGAATTACTATCAATATTTAAGGAGCATACTCGGTACATGATTCTCATTCGAATTATGTAAAAAAAATAGGTACTTAATTTTTTACCAAATTTCCGTAAAAATAAATAAAGTGTGTACACGTTCCAAGTGTTCCAAGTGTGGACGCGTGCGGCGGCGTGCTGATACAACACTACGCCGCCGCCGCGTCTGTGTGTGTGTGTGTGTATACCTAATCTGTAGGGTGTTCATACGATGCGTAATTAATTACATAACTTTTGGTTAACTTTACTTAGAAGTTTATTAATATTTATGTTATATTAATTTTTATTTTGTCATATATGATCGTCAAATATCACGTCCTCAAGTATCGATAGTAATTCACCAGTCACCCTGTATATAAAAATGAATTGCTGTTCGTTAGACTCACTAAAACTCGAGAACGACTGAACGGATTTATCTTATCTTAGTCTTGAAAAGTTCGTGGAAGTTCAGGGAAGGTTTGAAAGCTGAAAGAAATTGATCCATTACTGGGAAAACCATAAAAACAGCCCTTTTCTATTTCCCATACAAACGTTTTTTTTTGACATTAGATTTGACAACGAACTAATTTTGGCTTTCGAACGATTTATGGCTTATAGGTATAGTCCAAAAAAATAAATTAAAAATTATTTATTTATCGATTGAGGCAGTACGAAGTCTACCGGGTCAGCTAGTTAGACATAAAATATTACATAACTAAGTCTTATAATCTATATCTAAAATTATATGATGGAAATACTTTTACTATTTGTATTAGCATGACTAAGCTATCAACTTTATCCTATGGTATCATGACGCATCTGGTTCACTCGGTCAGGTACAAGTTCCTCATGATATATCTATATTATATTGCTGCGTTCTTGGTTCTATAAAGTTCAATTAATATTTTACTTAAATAGCAAGCTTATGAGTTGTAGATTTTTTGAATGTAAACAATGTTGTAAAAACGATTCAGTATTAAGTTCGTCTTTATTTGCAATTATAAAAGTTATTTACGATTTTTTTTTTATTAGACATTATCCATTTTCTTTAATTCTTATTATTTTGTTTTTAAATTTAAAGCAATATAAAACTAATTTGCAATATTATATAGAATATAAAACTCATTGACACGAACAAGGTTCGATACTAAAACCTCCGGAAAATCGTCTTCCAACTGATTATAAATTGCACTATTGACGATGGATTCATCAATATATTTTTTTTATAATTAATTTTATTTTCAAGTATTCTGAAGGCTTAATTTTAATTATTAATTAATTATATATACTTTAAAAACTTTTCAATCTTTGTACATTAATTGAAATAATGTAATAGTATATATTTTGACGATACAAAACACTATTGACAAAAGTAAGTGACAAAAACATATTTAAAAAATCAGTCTTAAGAATTAGCTAAAATTACGTTCTTATTATCTAACTCGTTTTAATGATATGAAGTATTTGGTGATTTTTTTAAGTTTAATGTTTCTAAAAGATATTTAATAATCTAAACGATATTTTATATGAATGACTGACTAACTGAGTAACACACCGCGGTTAAAATAAAATGTATTTTGCTTACAGTCTTAATACATAATTTTTATATTTTATGAATAAAAATATTTGCTTCTTATATCTTATTCAACTGACAGATAATTTTATACAACATTAACCAAAATGTCGCTTCCATATATAATTGAGATAAATATATTTTTGCATAAATTTATATTAATGAAACGAAACTTCTGTGTCGAAGGTGAAAATATATTCAAGTTAATTTGACTAATGTCTCTTGAAAGACCGTTCTTCTTATTCAAAGAGATTTATAATCAACCTCCTTTGAATGTAGCCTCTATGGATTTGACATAAAGTTTGAAATTTTGACATATAGAAACTCTTTTGATCGATTTTTTTTTAGTTTTAAAAATAGAAGTGTTGCATATGACTGAGAGAATTCTTCTATCTCATCTTCTATCTCCCTTGTATAATTAACGCTATAAAGTCGAGCTCTAATTACTCTTAATTATCGTACCGAGAGTTCTGTGGAATGATTAAGCTTGAAGGACCGCGTGTAGATATTACGAAGAAATGATTAAAACTGTTTTAAAATGCTCTTTAAAAAGTCTTTATTACTTGGTTAAATTAAAGAATATCTCCTAAACTAACCTTATAACAAGTACTGACTGAGGTAGCGGGAGAATTAATTGGATTTTTCAAAGTTTTTTATTGTAAGATTAATGATAATGTTTGTTTGTCAGCATAAAATGATGCAATAAATTAATGAATACCCCAAAATTTTATTAATTAAATCCATAGAATATTAATTATTATTATATAATATTTATGCATAGATTGTTAAAATTAATAAAGTTTTATTATTCATATAGAGCTTGAAAGTAAAAATTCGATTCACATTATGTATATAGATTTCAAGTTAAATCTATGAACGTCGTGAAAGAGGGGGCTCAGAATTGTATACAGTATCTTACAAAAGAAGAGTCGTGTTATACAAAAATTATTACCCAATAAAAAGTTTTCCTAAGTAGTATAGTACAAGCCTTGCATGAAGCTCGTAAGTTAGTTAATTCATGATGTTTTTTGGACAGTGCCGGTCGTACCTGTTTGGCTGAGGGTGCAATAGACCAGGAGCCGACACCAGCAGCCGTTGACCTGCCAAGGACAAGAGATGGGGAGATCGACTATGATGGTAAGATACAATAGATATAAGTATGAAGACCAGCTTTATGAGAACCGTCATACATATACAGGGTGACTGGTGAATTACTATCAATATTTAAGGAGAATACTCGGTAAATGATTCTGATTCGATTTATGTAAAAAAAATAGGTTTTTATTCTGTCATATATGATCGTGAAATATCACGTCCTCAAGTATCGATAGTAATTCACCAGTCACCCTGTATAATGATTAGTTCTGGATAGTACTTGAGAAAAAAAAGAAAATGAAGATGATTTTGGTAAACGCACTATCCCAGTGACAGGCTATTCATTCTTGTCTTGAAGAACTTCAATTTGTATCGAAGAGGAGTCAGGAATGCAGGAAAATTATTAACAACCTTTGTTTTGCATTAGAGTTAAGAGAAACCATATAACTTCATAGAAATATATACATATATTGTTACATAATGCAACGTAAATTTTTCTTTGGGACATATTATTTAAGAGTTACAGACACGAATGATTACTGAAAGGCTCAGGACTTGAGCTCGTCAAAACTATAGTTATTATAAATTATCTCTATAATAGATATTTCAATACAATAGATAATCTTAGATTTTTGTTTGTTGTAAATATTTTTTGTTATGACTGCACACAATAGCTATACGTTCTACGATGTGGTATTAGTCATTATTAAATACACTTTCATTCATAAGACGTGAAATTGCATGCTACTCGTATAAGCGTAATTGTATTTTTTTGAATAATCTTGTACATCCGTGACTCAGATCGTACGTGACAATAATATACATTTCCAGTAAGGTTCAAGACAAAATAGCGTCATACACTAAAAATATCGCTAACCTGTTTTACATTTTTTCATAAAGATTTTATATAAGACTAGCTGCGCCCCGCGGTGTTACCCGCGGATTTCCGGGTTGTAAACTAGCCTATGTGTTATTCCTGGACGTCAGCTTCCTGTATACAAATTTTTATCAAAATCGGTTCAGCCATTTGAGCGTGAAGAATTTGTTAACGATGTTTTCAATCCCTTAAAAACTTTGAAGTTTTATATCTTCTAAATATTATGGATTGATTCTTCATAAAAAATATACCACATCCTTAATATACAAGCAGACTATAATACTATTTTAATTATGCTTATTTTATAATAAAAACATTATTTGTCAAATAAGATCATCATAAAAAACATACTTAATCAGAGAAAAAATAATGGTCATTATTTCTTTGAATATAACAACAATACAGTTTATTAAATCAATTTTGTCTGAATATTATGTTGTTCCACATACAAATTATTATGTTATTATTTTGCGAAATTGGTAGACATACAACACGACATGCTTTTCGATATCAAAAATTTTATTAATAAACTCATATTAGCTACGTCAACTCACTCACTCAATTAACATATACTAAATATGAAAAGATAATTTAGTTGGAGAACAATTTACATAGAGAATATTTCAGTTAAAGAGAAAATTAACTTAACGTATCCCTTTAAGAAACTGAAAATGTTTGGAAAGTTTACAGTAATATGCATTTAGAATTTTCATTGCTAAAATTAAATAAGACGTATTAAAAATTTAAATTATTTAAAATGTTAAATTTATAATGAAGATTTTTTTAATTTAAACTAGTATTAATGAGTATATGATTATTTATATCAGAATCGTATGCTATAGAGGAACAATTTCTATTATTTTTAGAGCACCGAACAACCCGTGATAAAGAACGCTAAATCACGAAACTCGAGAATTTGTTATATTGTAAAGTGTCAACAAAATATGTGGAGATATAAATGTTATGAATGTTCCTCTTTAAAATACAAAAACTCCTCTCATTCGCCTTAAGATTACACCTACTGAAAGACTTATTAATATTTATTATTACTTTTATTTCATACTAGCTTTCCGCCCGCAGCTTCGCCCGGGTGGAGTTCTGTTATATCGCTTTTCCAAGAGAACATTTCAAAAGTCTGGGATAAAAACTATCCTATGTTCTTTGTCAAGGTCAACTCTATTTCTGTAACAAATTTCATTAAAATCAGTTCAGTGGTTTAGGCGTGAAAGCGTAACAAACAAACAAACAGACAGACAGAGCTATTTTCGCATTTATAATATTAGTAGGGATATTTTTATACAATTTTTGATTCGGTCACTAGTAACTAGCTTAGTCCCTTAATCCATACTTTTGTATGGGTCTGTATTGTATAATATTTGTGACAGCCCTGTATGATGATGACTCCGACAGCGACTTGGGCTCGATGGAGAACCATGGCTCCGTGGTGACACATCTGCTGTCACAAGTCAAGATAGGAATGGATCTCACTAAGGTAGATAAAAATATAATTTATGTACTACATCGCTACATCGTGTGAACATGGCTTTATAACTTTACATCCCATTAATGATGGCCACATATTTGTACTGATATTAAACTCGTCTGTTTTGCTACATAGTGTAAACATGTCTTTATAACTATAATAGAGATAATAACCAATAAAAATACTGAAACAAAGGCTTCTAAATATGGTTTATAAGACTTAGATTAGAAGTTATATTAGATAATACGTAGTAATCAAGTAATCTAGTTCTTAGATAAGTTTATATTAGGATATATTCAATAGTAACATGTATGTGTTAATTATAGGTAGTTCTTCCTACGTTTATACTGGAGAGACGGTCTTTGTTGGAGATGTATGCGGACTACTTCGCACATCCCGACCAGTTTGTCAAGTGAGTATACATGACAAAATGAAAAAATACACTTGAGATCAATCTTATACTTAAAAATCGTTCGTTCCATTTGACCTGGTAAAAAATGCAATCACATGGACATAGCCAGGCTTAGCTCTAAATACGTATTAAGAAACAAAAAAAATGTGTGCGTACAAAGTACACATGTCAGAAGTGAAACTTCTTTGGCGAACTAATTTATAAATCTTGTTTATATTTATACAAATCTAAAACGTTATACGAAGTTCGCCCTGTCTCACTCTCTCTCAATCGGTCTCGATCGCTCTCTCTCTTTTTTTCGACACTTCCGTTGCATACCGTCGTGACGTTACATCAGTAAAAATGTTACCCTAATGCGCCTAAAGAAGTTTCACTTCAAAAATTATAAGTCCAAAGAGTTAGCCAAAGTTGTTTTTCTATTACCTCTAGTCTTTCTGTCTGTAATCGACCTGACATTCCTTAGGATAGTGGACCAACCAACTCCGAGGGAGAGGATGATACAGGTTGTGAGATGGTACCTGAGCTCGTACCACGCGGGCAGAAAGTCTCAAGTGGCCAAGAAACCATACAACCCAATACTGGGAGAGATCTTCAGGTGCCATTGGACTATAGACGGAGAACCGCAGGACAGCACTAGCAAGGTGACTAACATTAAGATCACTAAGGACTAAAAGAAAAATAATAATACGCCTTTTATTGTCTTCCATTACTTTACATATTACTTTTGATTTAATCTTACTTTAAATATATAAACAGCAATAATAAGTAATTTCAATTACAATAATATCTATATACATATATTCCCAAAAGAGAGTTGATGTCAGGCAGGTGGCCGGTCGTAAAAATAAATAGCTAAAACTATTCTCAACATGTAAGGCAGACCCTGGCTATAGCTGGGAAATTGCCAGGTAGAAGAAGAAGAATGTCTATATTCATATGTCTAATGTAGTGTCATGAAAAAATACTATTTTATGAAGGAATCAAACAGGAAAAACTCCTTTTGTATTTTATGGCTTAGAGTTCCATGTTATAAGAAAATATTCCAAGAACATGTTTAATTTTTGTTAATAAACATCCTCGATATAACGATGTTGTTAATACGTCATGCGAAGTCATTAAGAGAGTTTGAGTTTCACGAGTGATGGAAGTCAGCGATCCGTGATCAGGAATGCTCTAATAATAATATATATACGAAAATAATACTTTTAACGAAATTATTATAACTATGATTAGGTTAGAAACTTATAATTAAAATAGAAAATAAAGATCTGAAGGGAATTTTGCTTTTGAAAACTCATTACAAATATAATTGTTTTGGAACACGAGTTGAAAATTTTACCAAAAAGTTTAACATTGAAAAAGGTTTTATATAATTTATCTATAAAACATATCCGTGGCTTAATATTTGTGTTACAAGAGAACGCCGAGTAATGATGTATATTTAAATGGGACTAAAAGTTATTTTTATAACTTTTAGGTGTTGTATTAAAAATTTGAATCATTTTTTGTTCTACATTCACTTTTTTTTATTTCGTATTTTATATTTAAAAAAAATCATTAAAATGTATGTTTTAATAATTCAACGTTGTAGATATCTAATGACTAAATTTATTATTTAATATCTTATTTATTAATGAACTTATAGGTGTTATAAACATTAGCAACTAATTGATGAAATATAAATAAAATTACAAATAAAAAATGAACTTAATGTATATGTATAACTCTTTTAGATTATATGTACATTATTAAATTTATTCAGATCACGTCTGTACGTATGCAAGAAGTCTTTGCCTTTCAACGCGAAAGAATAAAAAAATTACGACCAATGCATAGCGCTATTTCTATTAGTTTTTTCGGTGCTATTTTCGGTTGAAACATATTTCGCTGTTGGAGATTTATTAGTAAAAAAGTAACGTATTTAAAATTACAATTTATTTTTATCATCCTATTCATATAAATTGTTATTCAATATTAAAATATTTTGATACATATTCTATCTTCTCTTGGCAATGCACGTGGTTTTCAATATTTAACTAGAAGCCTTTTTTGGAAATTAGTTTTATGATACACTAGAATTTGCCAGTTTTGATTTAGAGGCAGTAAATAAACAGATTTTGGATTTTATTAACAAACTTCTTTCTGCTCAAATGAATTCAAAAGTATCCCATATCCTTTCCATTGTTCTAAGCTATTTCGTCACCTATTTTCAATCAAATCCCTACAGGCGTTCTTGTGTTATAATTCTTATAAATAGTGTAACTAACACGACTTTCTTAATAACTTAATATCCGAAGATTGCAGGTTCGAGTCCTGTCACGGTCGCCAATTTATGTTTCGTAGTGAACACTATGGAGCCTAATTTTGTTGAAATTAAACCCAAAAATATCTTGATACTGCTTATAATTAAAAGGTGTACAACGGTTCGAGTGCAAAGTTAGAAGTGACACAGCAATAATTAGAATGAATAAAATATGTAATAATAATATAATATATTCATACGTCACATATATTGAGTACATGCACTTCATGAACATATATATCACCAGCAAGAAGTGGGTGACGGCCCTGTACCCTGGTGTTCTCCGGACCAGCTGTCCTTCGTAGCGGAACAAGTGTCTCATCACCCACCTATATCCGCCTTCTACTCGGAACACGTCAACAAAAGAATACAATTCGACGCCTGGGTATGGACCAAAAGCAAATTCCTCGGACTATCCATCGGCGTACATAACATAGGCAGAGGCCTCGTCTCCCTATTGGATCTAGGAGAGGAGTATTCTCTAACCTTCCCCAATGGATACGGCAGGTTTGTTAAAACAACTGAACATTCTACTAGAAAGGTCTTTTCATTTGTTTATCTTGCTATGGTACTGTTAAAATCGATTGATTTTTTATGCAAAATATTTGGTTGATTGTTATGTAACAGTGACAAAAGTATACGAATGCTGTCATCTGACGTATGAAAACCATCCAATAATCTGTCTACCTTCATACTGACTTTCGAACGAAACAAAACAAACTTGACCAAAATCAAAATGTATCAGACTTCAAGGCTATTTTATAACCCATTCAATATTTACTCTTCCAGGTCTATCCTAACAGTACCCTGGATAGAGCTCGGCGGCTCTGTGGTCATAGAGTGTGTGCAAACGGGTCATAGAGCTAACATAGAGTTCCTTACGAAGCCGTTCTATGGAGGGAAGAAGCACAGGGTGACGTGCGACGTGTTCGTGGGCACGGAGAAGAAGCCTTACTACACCGCGCAGGGAGAGTGGAACACGAGGGTCGAGGGGAGGTGGACGGACTCGGGGGTTAGAATATGTATATTGTATACGGATAGGTATAACAAATTATGTTCATAGAAAGAGACAGTCTTTAGTGACGTCACTTGGAATGTTCAGCACCTTAGAACTGATGCCTTCTTCTCATGCTTGCTCATGAGTCTAGTACACTTCCAAGGCGTACCAAAATATATATATATATAGTCGTAAAAGAACGCTGAAAATGCTAATGGATATTAAAAAAAATGGATTTGAAAATAAACTCTTTAGTGTTCTTTGATTCCTTAATATAGTCTGTCATACAAATTCTCTACATTCTCTACGTTCAATATTATGTAGTAATATCGGTATGGCATTTACTTTACTTTGGGAGGAGTTAGATTGTTGTCCTAATACACTAATACGAATGAATGAATCAAATGTATATATAAGCTTCTATGATCTTTCTCGAAAAGAGCTACCAGATACTACTTGGAAAATAATCGGAATATTTTTGTTCCATTTATTTATTTATAAGCTAAATCTCTCTAATCTTCATGGCCCAATCTAACTTAAAATATCTAATGTCCTCAAATCATTATTCCAGCGAACAGAAGTCCTCTTCGACGTGTCAAACATGAAACCTAAGAAGAAACGTGTGGCTCCGATATCACGACAGAACAGCGGCGAGTCGAGGAGGGTGTGGAGACACGTGACCGCGGCGCTACGGGCGGCGGACACTGACGCGGCCACCAGCGCGAAGAGGAGGCTGGAGCAGGCGCAGAGGGACGCCGCCAAGAAGAGGATCGACGACAACCACAAGTGGGAGACACAGGTACACTGACACCAGCATACGTAGATATGACGTCACCACCGAAATATAGGGCTGGATAGGTCTCATTACACTGGTTAGACGAGACGATCTGGTCCTTGAGATTTGGTCCATAATAATACTATAAAATACTGAGCCAGACTACGGTAATTCGTTGGATCACCATCGAATTGTACGGGCAGATAGGTCTCTCTACACTGGTTAAAGGAGACTATCTGGTATTCGAGATAATGATTTATATACATGACATAGTAATAACATAAAATACTAAAGTAATTTCTTAGATATTGTGCAATAGATAACTGATACTTGTATAAATATATTTTGCAGTTATTCAAACCCAAAGGCGACGAAGGCTGGGAGTACATAACGCCTCTCAGCAAACGAATAGAGACGTCAAAGTCGCCCAAGAGACAGGACACGGCCACTAGATAATGGACTTTATTGTAATTAATATAAGGTACACTTTACACGATAAAACGCACTATACATTAGTACAGCGTGGACTTGTACCGTATACGACTCTAGGGAAATATATCAGTATGGGAGGGAACATTCGTTTATTATATTATATAATTAATTTATATTATTATCTACTGTGGAGTCGTGTGTATAGAGATACATGTTTGGACCAATTTTTTTTTATTAATCTCCGATACAACGTATTATGTATGATTTAGATTCTTTTATATATTATAAACATGTGTTTGAGATTGTTTAATTTAATTATTTTTTTTGGACGATACTTTACAGAAATGTATTGATAATTGTTTTAAAACTGGTGTAGGTTTTTATTGAAGAGTATGTTATAATTTTTTAACAAAATTCCATTGTTTAAATGTTCTGATATTGTGGCAGAATTGTAGCTTTTATATAAGGACGTTTATATCTTGCGACACGACTATGACTTTGTGTCGTGTCGTCGTCGTGTCGTGTGTATACAACAATAGTTGAAATCTATTCTTAATATTTAATAATTATGGCCTATAACGAGCAATAACTGTAAATATAGATTCATGTTTCGCTTCAAAGATTTAACTAGTGTATAGTGATTGTTGATATACATTGAGAGATATGATTTAAATGATCTTAATTCTAGACAATTTTTGATTGAATACTCCAAAAAAAAAAATCTATATTTATGGTTTAAAATTTATATATTAATTAGATAATAAAAATATGTTTCGTACATAGATTAAGTGACTTCATTGCTTTCTACGTGGAAGGCCCGTTTTTTCAACATAATTAGATGTTTAGACTTCTCTAACGATATCAATTCATTTTGGTGCTCATACAAAACACTCGATATATGATTATTATCAAATATCTCAACGAATACTTATTAGTTTCATATCTTTTTATTATAAACAAATTTTATCAGTGTACATTGTATAATGTATATTCCTTAAAGCTTGAAGTCATTTTAAAACGATCGCCTGTGTACATACGCCTTTAACTATCAGCTGATGAAGTAGATTTTGAATTTGACAAAAAAAAATCGTGTAATTTATTGAATAGAATATATTTTTATTTTCGATCGGCACACACTGCCTCCACAAGAAGGTTCGTAGGACAAGACTGATGGAAGGCGACGGTTCGATCACGAATCACACATAGTATAATAGATCTTGTATAATAAAATAAATATAAATTATTGCTATATCATTTGTCCTTCTTCTTAATGAAGCTTAGAACCCTATCTAGTGAGGAGATCTTCTCGCAAGCGGTTCCCTGTATGATGGTTGTGGTCGGGGCCGTCAGTACTCGGAAGTTGATTTGCTCGAAGTCCATAGACTCGTACAAGAAGCGGGACTGTCTGTTGCTTAGGATCCATAAGTTACTGTCGTGATCCACCTACAGATATAATATAGTACATATCTTTATATATATAATTCTTCTGTGAGTGTGTATGTCACTGAACTTCTCTCAAACGACTGGACCGATTTAAATGAAATTTTTTGTGTGTTCAAGGGGATCTGGGAATGGTTTCGATTCACAATTTTGTCCGCTGGACAATGTTTTTTAATTAATTTTTAATTTATCAGTAGTTGTTGATACAAACGTTTTTTTTTTGACATTACATTTGACAACTAACTAATACGTCAATCATTCTGTCGTACTTCAAAACACGGAGATTTATGGCTTAAATAGGTAAACTCCAAAAATATAAATAAAAAACGTAACAGATATTTCTTGATTATAGGGCGATACGAAGTTAGCCGGGTCTTCTAGTATGTACATATATACTCGTATAGTATCAGAAAAACAATATATTCCATAAGGCTGGTTCTCACTGTAGGACCATGTGCTTGCAAACAAACCAATCAGCAATGACCTCTGATAATCATTATTTTCATACATATTCCTATATATGACGTCATACACGAGAGCTCACCTTAATATCGTTGGGGAACTCCAGTACGGTGCAGTCGCTGATGATGAGTGGAACCTTCTCCGGAGTCAGAGGCTGGTCGACATTCCAACAACTCACGCCATTTTTACTCAACTTGAAATGAATATAGAGAAATTTTATTGTATGTATGTAGAGTGACGTATATAAGGATGAACTATGCTATATATTATTTTAACGTTATGAAAAGCCTATAGTTTATTTGTGTGTGTGTGTGTGTGTGTGTGTGAATGCGAATGTTTGTATGTATGAAATGTAATAAAACGTATTTATCTATCAAAAGATGGATTTCTGACGCTTTTTTTATTGAAAGAAAAGAAGTGAATAAAAGTTGTGTTAAACTTTTAATGATCTTTAGGGGGGGGGGGGGGGATAAAAAGAAACAGAATGAAAGGAAATGCTTGGTGTTCGAACGCATGCGAGCAATCAATAAAACTTTTAAGTAATATTAATAAAGTTTGTCTTAAAGAAACACTCAAAATTCCTTATAAATCAAATAACCAGCTACGTTTTAAGATCCCTTAAATTTTAAAATTTTTTGTTAGTATATATTAATTTGAATAATGAATTCAATGTTTTCATAAGTAACATATGTCTAGTAGAAGTGTTAAAGTTACCTGAGTGGAGAATAATACATTGTTGTTATGATCAAAGTCTATCGCTGTAGCCTGGGACTTCTCACCTCTGTCACCCACGATCTGAAGGATATTAAAAAAACTTGAAGAGTAACGGTATTCCTTACAACGTTTACGACACTACAATCAATTTGTCTTTATTTGTATATACTTCATATAGTCATAAATAAGATTTATGTGACAGAAACTATACAATAACAAATAATATCCCTACCAATATTATAAATGCGAAAGTAACTGTCTGTCTGTTACGATTTCACGCCTTAACCACTGACCAATTTTAATTAAATTTGCTACAGAGATAGAGTTGATCTTGAGATAGAACATAGGATAGTTTTTATCCCAGACTTTTGAAAAGTTCTCTTGAAAACGCGATATAACCGAACTCCACGCGGGCGACGCTGCGGGCGGAAAGCTAGTTATAACATAAATATAATACTTGTCAATGTCTTTAAATGTTTTACCACAACCAATCGTAACAGTGTAATATTTTTAATTGATGAATGCCACATCAAGTAACCTTTTATATTAATAAACAGCACATAATGTATAATTGGTTATTTGTGTCTCAATACAATGTGAGAACCGAAACGGGTGAATGAACGTTTTAACTGTTGGTAATAAGTTAACGATTAACTGGTACTAAGGGTTTAGTCGAGAGCAATCTCGTTTTTACTACCAGAAGTATATTGTTACTTTATAAGGATATTTCTAGTTCTTCGTGATTCGGCTTGATATTATCGTATGAACTTACTTCAACACCAGCGAATATATTCTCCAAGGGAACATTCCTGTCTCTCAATAGTTTAGTCGACATGCGGAACAGCTTTCTACTGGACGTAGGGTGGAAGTACAGGTAGGGGGCTCTATGAAAACAATTATTAAATAGATAAAAATAGTATTTTCCTACTACCGAGGGACGCGGTTGCTGCAAAGTAATCGAAACGTAGAGAGTATAATAGATCCTAACTTTCGCGACTTTTATTAATTTTAATGAAACTAATGGTTTTTACACACTACGAATGCTTTTTTGTAATAAACTACATACTCCCGAAGTTTCGGTTACTTCACAGAAACTGTGATCACGGGCAGACGAGAAGTCGGGAGTAAATTGCTTTAAAATAATAAAATACATCCGAAAATATTAGTTTCATTTAAATGAGTACACGCGAGTCTTAGGTTTAATTAAATATTAATTACCTGCAATGTTATATATAAATTTATCATATCCATTAATAAATAAAATTGTTATAATTTAAGAACCGTTTTTTTGTTCATCTCTTCTATTGAAGACCTTTAATAGAATTTGGGCACAATATTTTATCATTATAAACAAAAAAATAATCAAAACAAAGCATTAGTAAGAACCTTTTACATCGTAGAAGAACAAAAAAAAACAATTTCATAGTAATTCTCGTGAATTTATCCAAAACTAATACTATATATAAATCAAATACAAGTCTTACCCGGAGCCTTTCTTAGCCGGGATCACAACAGCTGATGATATCCCATCGCTCCAATAAAAGTCTACACCGCCAACCCTATAAACGCCCTCGTGAGGATCGAAGTGGAAGAAGTGGTTCTCTATCCTCCATACATCCTTCAACCTCAGGCTATACACCAGGAGAGCGTTGGATCCCATATCAGGGATGTACGCGAAAGTATCCTCGCAACCCTTACCGGCTACATCTACCACCTTAGAACAGTAAAGTTATGTTTTTATATGGCAATGTGAAATTAAAAGTATTGTATAAAAATATTTCTTAACGTTAAATCTTAAATGTTAACAAAAATGAGATAGACATTCTTATTAAATAACTTTTTTTTGTCGTACATCTAAAATAGTAAGCATAAATTAAAAGAAAATTTCGGAATAATTTTTAAACGAATATCGTTACTACCTCCAAAAAATACTCATAGACGAGCTGAGAGTTTTTTTAATAAAATTTTATATTAAAAAGTAAGTAAGCTTAAATAATAAGATCTAGTAAATTCATATCAGGATTAACTTACAATACTAGTCAACACCGTAGAGTCTCTCAAAACCTCATCATCAATGACGTAACGGTGTATTAAGACGTTCTTCCTTAAATCAAATATCACTATGGCCGGCTCTGTTATTTGTCGTAATTCTCCTTAAAAATGAAGATTTTTCATAAATTAGCATATAAATATTGCATGTTATAGGACAGGTGCATTTTTTTTATTACTTGACATATCAGCGACACCATTGTCCACAGCCCACAGCCGATCACACTTATCGATATAAATTCTGAACGCAGACACCACTGTACTATTCGTTGTAACTTTATGAGACTTCTCCGATACAAACCCGTCATTCCAGCTTGGGTATGGATTTAACGGCTGCGATTGACTTCCGTTTAAATAAACATAATTTAAAGAGGATGGAACTCCTGAAATTTATCATAAAATATATAAAATTCATAATAACGGTAATATTGGAAACAGATAAAATTTTGAACCTTTTTTCCATCTGGGAATTGTTATGAAAACTTTATCTCTCCATCTAGCTATTCCAGCAGGCATATTATTTTCAGGAATATAATCGCCTGAAGCCAAAGCCGCTTCCCGTCTGTTACCTTCCCATGCAAAGTCTATAGTTTTCCATTGAAATTTAGGAGGAAGTAAACCTTGTGTGTGAAAGAACAAATTAAGAAATAATAACACTAGAACTGTTGATTTCATCTTTAATTTATGAAAATGTTGTAAAGAAAATGAAGTTAAAAATAAAACTACATATTTTGATTTGAATTTTTGTTGTAATTACATTTTAGTATAGCCATAACTTAAAATTAAATACTGACGGATGGAATGATAGTCAATACTCAATACCATCCAGTCATTATGAAAAAGTAAATATATATATTTCTAATTCCTTTCAAATAACTTTTGTATTGATTAAAATAGTATGAAATGAAATATACTAATAATTAAAAATAAACATATCCCTCATATAAAATATAAGGAATAAATACCGGAACGCTTACATTTTGCCCAAACGTCAAATGAAGTATTGTAAGTTGTCACGTTTAACAAATAGATGTTATTTGTTAATTATCGTCCAAACGTTTTATGTATTTATGGAAACGATCCATCCATCATTTTTATTAATTTCGAGCCTTTTTAATTAGTTATACTTAGTTTGATAAGTGCTGCATATAAAACTTAAAATGTCCAAAGAAAACACTGAAACAGAAAATGGTGAATCCTCCGTAACAACTGAAGAGATAAGTGAAAAACGAATAGGTTGTGCTCATTACAAGCGTAGAGCTAAATTTGTGGTAAATAAAACTTAATTATTAATGTATTTTGAGAATAATTTTCATAATTTATTGTACTACCGGGTTCAAAATACTCTCGTCTAAATATAAATCCATCGACGCAAAATCTCGAGATCCACTATGATAAGCAAATTTGGATGTGCAAAATCTTGTCAGTAGTGTGAATTTTTATTACAATGAAACTTATTGCACATTTTTGCCATTAATTTCGATTTCAATCATATCACTATTGAAATTAAAAATTCGTTTAAACTTTTCCACTATACATATTTGACGAAAATCACTTCTAATACGAGTAACCACTATTAAGATTACTATAAATTTGTTTCCTCAGACTCCATGCTGCAACAAACTATACATGTGTCGTTACTGCCATGATGAAAAAGAGGAACATTATTTCAACAGAAAATCTGTAACAGAGCTCATCTGTACCGAATGTGACACAAGACAGAAGGTTCAAGCTAAATGTATTAAATGTGGAGTCACATTCGGAAAGGTGAGTCAGATTAATATGGTAATAATCATACTTATATAAAATTATAGCCATATATAGCTACAAGTTAGTGAATAGTGAGGTTTTGTCCTCTAGAAACAAAACAAAACATAAAATATAACTTTTTAATATTCTTAATATGAAGAAAAAAATATTTCATGTTTTTCAACTAAATTACAAGCTATCACATAATTTATATTTATTTTAATCTATTTATTGTTGGAAAGAAAGATTCTTCAAGAAAATGTTAACCTAAATATCTTAATTAAATTTGACATGAATCACTGTATAAACACAAAAGATTTAAATTGTGCCAGTGAGAATGAAGCCATAGGATAAAATGAGAAGTTTTAATATATGGTGTCAAAACTATTTTCATATTAATTTGAAAATAATTGTGTCTTGATATAGTTAAGAAACTTTCTTTAAATTTATTTTAACAAAGATATCTAATTTCTTTTACTATATTAGCTGAGTGTACACAAAATATCAGTTTTTGACCTCAATTGCTTATAAATTGAACAAATAATTGATATAAATAAATTACTTATACTATCATTATACTAAGTATATTGTAATATAAATTGAAATTAAGTTAACACATCAATATTCAAGAACCAATTCAATATCTTTTTGAATATCTATACCAGCATTAATTTTGAGTACAGTTTTTCATTTAAAATCATCAAAATTGTATACATATATCTTATGTATAAAATTCTTGTGTCGCGGTGTTAGACAGAGAACTAATCCGAAACGGCTTGACGGTTTTTGATGTAATTTTGTCAGCATATTGAGTAGGTCTGAGATTCAGCTTACGTCTATTTTATATACCTCTAAGTCATAAAGATTGTTCCCTCTTACTTTTTTTTTAAATTTTGGAACTATTTTTTTTTTATTTTTTTTATAATGCCGTATTAAAAGATACATACAACCCAAAGTTTTTACTTTTTTATCACCAACCCCTATTTTTTTATAGTCAAAGTTTGCTGCATCAGCTAGTACTTAAATATATTAATAAATAAATGTTATTTTCAGTACACATGTCTGATCTGTAATCTGTTTGATGACGAGGACAAGAAGCAGTATCATTGTGATGGATGTGGTATATGTAGAGTGGGCGGCCGGGACAGGTTCTTTCATTGTGAACGCTGCAACATGTGTCTGCCGGTACAGTTACAACAAGTCGGACATAGGGTGAGCATTGTTTAGTATTCTGTATAACATTTTAAATAGTAAATCCTACTAATATTATAATTGCGAAAGTTTGTGAGTGTGTGTGTATGTTTGTTACTTCTTCACGCTCAAACTGCTGAATCGATTTTGATAAAATTTTATATACAGGAAACTGACGTCCAAAAATAACATATAGGCTACTTTACATCCCGGAAATCCACGGGTAACACCGCAAGGGCGCAAATAGTATACTTATATATGCTTATTGTTTATTCATAGTCTTTGTTTGAATGCTTAAATCTCAAAAACTAATAGTCTGATCTGTAATAATTCCTTTAAGCTAGAATCTACACTTATTATCTGAGAAAGCTATAGCCAATATATTACAATGAACAATAGGATCAGAGTTTTAATGCAGTGATGTCAAAATGAGAAGAAATTATTTCTTTTGAGAACTTACATAGTTGATAGTGTGCTGTGTGTGAAATTTACCAATATCATCTGATACAACTCCTTAATGAATTATAAGTTACAAATATATTCAACTAATAAGCCGACAAAGTAGGTCATACAAAGACAATTAATTACATAAATATTAATTGTTATCTTCTACTTGGCAATTTCCCAGCTTTAGCCAGGGTCTGCTTTACATGTTGTGAATAGTTTTTGGCTAATTGTTTTTTACGACCGCCTGACATCAACCCTCTTTTGAGAATCAGCAATAAATATTAATTGTTATATTTCTGTATAACTTTCAGTGTGTAGAGAATGTATCTCGTGCCAACTGCCCCGTGTGTCTAGAAGACATTCACACATCTCGGATTCCATGCCACATACCTGACTGTGGCCACCTCCTTCACCGACCTTGCTTTGAACAGATGCTTCGCTCGGGACACTACGCCTGCCCCACATGCCAGACCAGCATGATCGATATGACCAATGTGAGTGATGAATCTATATAATAATTAATCATCACTGTGGTAAAAGATGATTTGATAATGTATATAAACATGTGATAATGTATATAAAAAAAATAATTGAGACCTAAGACTCGAACAAGTATTTATTCAAATGAAACTAATATTTTAAACTTTTCAGTAACCAAAAAGTTGGGAGTATCTAGGTTTTACAATACCAAAAGACATGTAGTGATCCGAAAACATTGCTTTCATTAAATTTGAATTGATGTAAAATTTTTGTTGAAACAAATTTAATTTATTTATACCCTTTCTAACTTACTTTGTAACATTAATTTATTTTGATGTGTCTTTAAAGAAATTAAGAGGCTCATTTGGATTATGACAATTTATAAGAATTTACTTTGTATATATTTTCATATATAGAAATTATATTAAATATATCATTATATTATTCAAAAAAATTTCAGCTCTGGAATTATTTGGACTCAGAAGTGGCTGCTACACCGATGCCACCTGAATATGCAAACTATAAGACAACTATACTATGTAAAGATTGTCACAAGGTAATTGATCATATAACAATATATGTGTATTAATAGAATCCAAATAATAAATAAGCAATATATATTTTGTTAATATTTATAATTAACTAGCTTTCCGCCCGCAGCTTCGCCCGCGTGGAGTTTGATTATATCGCGTTTCCAAGAGAACCTTTCAAAAGTCTCGGATAAAAACTATTCTATGTTCTTTGTCAAGATCAACTCTTTGTACCAAATTTCATTAAAATCAGTTCAGTGGTTTAGTCGTGAAAGCGTAACAGGCAGACAGACAGAGTTACTTTCGCATTTATAATATTAGTAGGGATTGTTATCAACGAATCTTTCTTCATGCATTTTCATAATATTTTTTTTGTGTTTCAGTTGTCGACGGTCAAGTTTCATGTGGTGGGTCTGAAGTGTCAACATTGTGGTGGATACAACACATGTCAGACAAACGGATTTCACAAGTAAATATTAAACTTACTGACGAATTACCTTCCTAATAAAAATATATTAAATTTGTAAAGAATTTATAGTGCCAAGTGGCAAAACTGAATGACAGTACCTAATATAATAAAGTAATCTACCTACGTTACACTCAACATCATATTATTTAATAATACCGAGCAAGTATAACAAATACATAATAAAAATTTTGTAAAAATGACATTAACTGAATGAAGTGTATCTTTTCATTTCTATAATAAGGTTTTTAATGTTGAAGGATGAAGGGTCTGTTAAAGCTTAATTATTATGTATTAAACTCTTAATATAATATATGTTATGTATGTATAACCCAACCATGAATATTTATTACCATTTACTAATATAATATTACAGAGATTCCGGTACATCAGACCAGTGCGAAACAAACACTCCGTCCTCCAGCCGCAGCGGTTCAAGTTCCAGTCAACCCGACACGACCGAGCAACGTGACGAGAACGACACGACTGACACACGGGAGGAACACGACACGAGCGACACACACGGACACGACCTGCCGCGAGCCAACCCCATGGACGAGCCACCGCAAGCCTGACACGATACACACGGACGGGAATAATGAACGACTTGTGAGAATACAAGTCATAGTATGAAGCACAATATAACATGATACAAGGATTTGTTACCATATAATATATATCTCATGTATGTTCATATATGCAATAACTTGTAGTACAATCGTGTTGTAAGTGTTCAAGATACTCGTTACATATGAAATGTGATATGATTTGTAAAATTTCTTTTTTTTTTGTGATTTACTTTATATTAATATTAAGATATTATTAGTGATCGTCTTGAATTTATCTCAATTATTTATTTTATATATTTTATTTTAATTCATTGTCTTCATTGCTTTTCTTGATATATAAAGGTTTTAGCATTCTATTATCTACAATATTCTGTCTATAATAACTTGTAAATAAATAATAATTATTTTATTATTTTTATTTCGTCTTATAACAGTTTCATATTTATTTGTAGGAGGGCGTTGTAAGTATTAATGTAATATTTTTGTTTTTGTTATTATTTTTATTTATTAGTTAAATCCATATAATATGAGCTGTTGTATTTTTAGTTTTGGATATGTTTATCCTAATTCTGTTATTAGTTTCGCTATAAATAATAATTAAATAACATTTACTACTTTGTTTTTGTTTTAGAAGTTACCTTTATACCATTTCTTTGTTAACAGAATTGTTATGTTAATGAAGATGATCTTGGCTCAATTTATTTAATTGAAGCTTTGCCAAAATATATTAGGTCATAACATATGAAATGGACGATTAGCTTTACTGTCCACTTTAATTTCAAATATCTCAGGTTTGCAATACCAACTTCAAATTTATACAGCTATTTCCTCAGGCATTTGTTTTTCAAAAACAGTAAACCATATGAACTTTTGATGATATAGATTATAGACTTTTATCACACAATGAACAGATATTTCTTATGGTTGGTTGGTTGTTTAAAACAGGGGTGTCCAAACTAGATGGGACCGAGGGCCAATAAAATTGAATAAATACATTGGTGGAAAATATTTATAAAAATAAAATGCTCGTAATAATAATATCGTAATTTTATTAACTACTGTTCCATTAATTTGTCTTTTATACTTTTGTCAATATCAACCTCAATATTAGTAGTAGCTAGGCGCAGTTCACCTTTAAGTAAAGTATCTGTCATTGAAGACCTGTATTTCGATTTAATTAGCTTCATTGTTGAATATGCACTCTCAGAAAGGTAGGTACTGCCCATCATTGAGCCCATTTTTTGCCCGAAATTTGCCAGTTTCGGGAAACGTTCAGCGAGGAGCTTAAAAAAATCTATCCCTGTTTCTGTTCTGCCCTTGTAAAAGGGGTCTGATTGCAGATCACACAGTTCTAGTTGATAATCAATCTTCACACTCTCAACTGCAATAGTTAATGGATTAGTGAAGAGTGCTATATCACTCTCAATTTTTTGAAAATCTGCAAAACGCCGCTCGAATTCGAAAATTATTTCGTCTATGTATTTGAGGTTGTCCAAAAAAATGATGTGTGGGACGTGATCGAACATACCCTTTAAAAAATTTGAATTTTATCGCGATAAAAATAATTTGCTCATTGATGTTTTTAAACAAAGAATATATAAAAAAGATTCTGCGGGCCGCAATAATGCGAACCGTGGGCCATGGCTTGGACAGCCCTGGTTTAAAATATTGCCTTCGTCAGTGCAGAGACGAGAACAGTAATAAAAATTAACAGCATATCTCTATAAATTCAGTGACTTTTTTCACTTTCAGTCACAAGTCATCGTCATGACGATCTCCTGCTATGTGTTAAGTGGTAGGAGTGACTATTGAGTATCTCATCAAGAATCATTTCATAACCACAACATACACCCAAGAACAGAGAGCTTGGAATTACTCGAGTAAAGATTTATTTTTTACATAGTTGTATTTTCATGGGATTTAAATTTTTCTGGATAAAATTAGACTCTAAAGACATTATTACGTATGTCAAAAACTGTGTTTACATAGAAGAAATAAAACAAGAGAATAAGGTAGCAAAACGGGAATGTATATTACTACGAGACAAAAATACAAAATTATAATTAAATTTATCGAAATTTTTCATAATATATTACTCCTTAATACTGTAATAATAAACAGCTAAGCCCCTTACAAATAAAATAAAAAGAGAATGTTTATGAAGTTTATCAAAGACATCACTAAAAGCGTCTATATAAATATTTTTAACAAAACAAAAAGCATTTAGGCCAACAAACAAAAGTATAATACGTTTCAAATTTCAACAGACTACATGTTTTAGATTATGAGCAACGTTACATTTGAGCTCAACATGTTTTATACAAATATTCTTTTAAAAAATTCTCACTGAGACATAAACATAACACGCACCAAACTCCTAATGAGCAATTTATATATTACAATCAACATTTCTCTGCCAGTATAAAGTTCTCACAGAGCTTACAACTGTTTATCTGAGATCACTTACATTTAAATAGTAAAAAGAAAAGCACTTAACTAATCTACAGGCAACTTCATGAAAATTGGTCTAATAAATACAAATATAATACAATATTTTTGCATATCTGACTAGCATATCATTACTGATTAAAAAAATATTGACAGGATTATGACTGTTACGTATTTTATTATAATCTGTAAAGTGTTTTATCAAATGATTGTATTATTATGTAAATTAAGCCAGGTGTCGGCGATTCAATAAATTTATGATAACAAAAAAATAGATAAACAATACCTATTAGGAAATAAATATTGTTTGCGATATTTACATCTCTATATGATTTTAATTTAATATCACTTTTAACTTATTAAAATATTTTGCCATCACAATAAAGCTCGGAAGCTGTTAATAGATGGCGTTGCTTGTTTTTATTTGGATTACCGTTACTTATGAAATATCTTTATTATTTCTTTATAATTACACCATTTACGGCAGGCCGTGGAAATCAAAATCCGTGTACAATTTCTCGACCCGATTGTAAACCTCATCACATGACTGTAGTGTCTGTGGTAAAATATTTAAAGCCTCCGTAAGTTGTTCTTCTGTTCCGAATATCTGAAAAAAAAAGAAAGTTTTTTTTTTTAAACTACTCTTATAAATAATAATTCTCCGGCATATGATGCTGTGCTGAGAAATGAAAGTGCCGCGGGATGTGACTTTCTTTATAAAATTCGTTTGAAGAAAACCACTTTTTATGAATAGTATAATTAAATTAATGTTCTGAGTAGGTAAATTTCAAAAACTGTGACCGCTACTTTTTATTAGCGACGCCGTTTTCTAGAATATAATATATTTCTTATCTATTGATGATAATGTTAACATCGGTCGTTTATTTTTATTGAATTAATTTTCATATAAAACTTTCATATCAATGAAATTTCCAGAATGAATTTTATGCATGTGTATTCATTAACGTCAATAAATATTCATAAATAAAGCATATGTCAACGCAAATAATCAGATAAATCTATACTTATATTATGAAGCTGAAGAGTTTGTTTGTTTGTTTGTTTGTTTGAAAGCGCTAATCTCCGAAACTACTGGTTCGAATTGAATAATTTTTTTTGTGTTGGATAGTCCAGTTATCGAGGAAGGCTGTAAGCTATATAACATCACGCTACGACCAATAGGAGCAAAGATATAGTGGTAAATGTGTAAAAAACGGGAGAAATTATTTCATCTTTGAAGCCTTTTGTTGCGTGCGCCGTGAAAACGGTTCAAGATACACAAAAAATTTGTATTAAAGAATAATAGCTCTTTTAATGATCTAAAAAACAGTCCGCGACAGTATATTTCTATCTTTTAAGATTAACTCACAAAAACCGTTTTTATGGTACCTAATTTGGTCGAAATAATTTGTTTAAGTTGTATCAACATAATAATATTAATCTTTATTCAAATAAACAAATAAATATGTTGTTGGTTAAGAGTATTTCATTGCGAATAAAAAAAAACATAGGTTTTATCCTGAAAATTCTACGGGAACTCGACCATTCCGAAAACCCCGCAAGAACGGGAACTATGTGGGAAGAACCAAAAATCTGCCGTAAGTCACTATTCCACGCGGACGGAGTCGCGGCAAAAGCTAGTTATTACATAAAAAGCAAATACTACCAGTATGTATGAATTAAGTGTTTAATATATAATTAAGAAATGATATCGGAGCCAACACGACGCATCTATTGTATGATTTGCAATGATTAATTCAAAGCTTAGAGATTAAATTGAACAATGATTAGAGTAAGCCTGAGTGCGATAAGTATGTTGAAAACAATTACACGTCAAAATTATAATACAATATAGTTATTTAGTGCTAAAGAAAATGCAAAAAAAAAACAAACAACCACCTTAGCCTTAAATGGTATTCTTTTATTTGTTATTTAAATTAGACTTCGCCTTAATAATAAACCCGGGAACGCATATAAAGACAAAACGTAAAATAAATTTACTCTAAGAGTACTAGTATTGTTATTAATGGAATAGTTCTCAATTGATATGAGTTGTTAAACAATTCGCTAAACACTTCATAATTTCTCAATAATGTTATTCAAGGTCAGTTTAATCAATAGCAATAAAATACTTCAAGGATTCGTTATTAGAGCAAAATATTAAATTATTAAAAAAGATAATAAAATTATTGTTATGAATTAAATATTAATTTATTTCAAATATATCATTGAACCTCATTTATCACTAAGAACCTAAATATTTATCATCAACAACTTCCTAATCTTTCTTAAGGTCATGTGTAAGTGAACTAGTTGATATGAATTCTTCCTTACATATAAACTATATGGGGAAAAATAATGAATGCGACAAGTAACAAGTAATTCCATGCTTTATATACCACTAGCTTTCCGCCCGCAGCTTCGCCGCGTGGAGTTCGGTTATATCGCGTTTCCAAGAGAACCTTTCAAAAGTCTGGGATAAAAACTATCCTATGTTCTTTCTCAAGGTCAACTCTATCTCTGTACCGAATTTCATTAAAATCAGTTCAGTGGTTTAGGCGTGAAAGCGTAGCAGACAGACAGACAGACAGACAGACAGACAGAGTTACTTTCGCATTTATAATATTAGTAGGGATAAATAGCAATAAAAATATATTTATTGCTTGTATTACTGTTATCAATAAAATTATAATCAGTCATGTCCGAAAATTTTAACTTTGTACACATTTTCAGTGTTAATTTGGTGATAATGTAAAGCTTCTCTAATCAGTTTATAGGATATGATTATAATGCAATATTAAGCTAGTTGATTAGTTTCTTATCCATACTATTCATACTTTTTCGGCTATAGAAGACATTAGCTTGTTTCAAATTTGGTTAGGTAGAGAGAGGAGCTTGGACAGTAGAGGTGAACATTTAACACGCATTAAATAGTGGCTTAATCCTACACCTGGGTTGCAAGTCCCAGGCACTGTTGTAGCTCCTCTCCCTACAACGATGGACCTGGCACTCGCATGAATCCATTGAATGCTGAGAGGTTTTGTCTCATGGATTTAACATACCTTTTTTAATAAGTCCGGTCGTGAAGGCAAAGCATGCATAGCTAAAGTGGCCGCCTTCCGTATGTACCAGGGATGGAATGCAGCAAGTGTTTCATTGTATGAGTTCTGACATGTTGTACATGTGTTCACACTCTCTTCAGCTTCACTCAGTCTCTTAAGAAATAGACGTATAAAGTCTATAATAATACAAAGGGAAATATTATGATAATTTAAATTGATGTGACAAAAATTTATCACTATAATTGCTATTATAATTGTTAATGGTTACATTAGCATGGACAGTGATTTTAACAAGATAACGAAACAATACGTAGAAACAATTGTAACCCACTTTATAATGACCCAATTAATATCTTTAACAACTGCCCCAAATTTAATATAATTAACTACAAACCTAAGCCTCTGTGTAATCGTAGCATTGTCCTCGATCCAGAAACGTAGCCATTCTTTTCGTGCAAGCTCGTTTCCTTTTCATATTTCATCATTTTCTTAAAGGATTCAAAGTAAAGGGAATCATCGCCTTCGCGATGTTTCTCCATAATTTTAATTTTACTTCGAACATCGCTGCTTACAAAAGAAAAAACTGAACCGATGAGATTCAAGAACCTAAATAAATTAACTTGTAAATTCTAAGTCAACAAAGTCACCATATGGAAAATAAAAAATCCTTACTTTACTAGTTCATTGTAACCTTCTATATAATCGTCTATTATCACATCGTCGTCTTCTTTCAAACTTCTCTGAAAACTTTCATGTACATATTGTATATTTAAAGTGTTTTCATTGGACATTTCGTTCACTATAAAATAAAATATCGTAAAATGAAACACAATCTACACGATCAATTATTGTCTACTGCTGACTGCAAACTGCAGTTCACTGTACAGCTGTTGATTCTGACGTCCAATGGTCATTGACGTTTAAAAATTTGTAATTGACATTGTAGATGCATTTTTAAGAGATTTATTATTAAATATTATCCAACAATAAATGAAGTTAATTTACAAGTTAATGATAATAGTTTTCAACATTTGTTTATAATTATTCTTATTTTTTAACTTAAATATATAAAATAAGATTTTTTCTCCATGATCTGTATCGTATGACAAGATATTTATAATTTTTTCAAATGTCACAACTCAGCTCTGAAAACAGATACGATACCTACATATGATTAAGTTTTAAACGCAGTGCGAATTGCGAAATTGCAAAAAACATTTTGCAAATTTTTAAAGCTTACAATCTTTTTCTATTAGATGTTATCCTCAATATTCGCATTAATAACGAATTAAAGAAAAGATATGTGTGAATGAAAATAGGGAGTTACTCTTGTAAGTGAAATCTATTCTTGTATTTTTTTCTCTTATAAAGAACAATTAGTTCAGGGATTGATGTCTATTTGCTTTTGACCAACATACTGCTTATTCAAATAACCGTAAAGAATAAAATTAACTCTTGTTAAACTTCCAGTAGACCAATTCGAACTGTAATGATAAAAAATGGCATCCACTCCTGACAATGAAGATGACTCCCTCGTTGTGATCCTGGGTACATCCCCCGGCGGCAGTATGGTTGAGAAAACTAATGGAACAACTAACGGAGACCTGGAAAGATCACAAATAGAAGATGCCATGAGATCACTATCAAACGAAGCTAACATGGCTTTTAAGGCTCAGTTTAATTTGGGTGATAGTGTAAGTATATAATTGTTTTTCCAAACAACTTTTATATTGTTTTTTCATTCAATTGGTTTGGTTTTCCAAACTTTATGCAATACAAAAAATTATTAATATAATCATTGTTCTTATTATCAACTAAAATATGTAAACTAGGTTGATGTAATTGAACTCTGTTTCACATTTGCAATATACATATACAAAAAATCATAAACATGTGTTACTGAAGTTTTAAAAACAAGTATTACCTAGTATGTTTATCTATTTGATACTTCATCTCACAAAAAATAGTCACTAATATCATATAAAATTTTATATTAAGTTACACTGAAGGAAAATATAGATAGGTTGTTGAATAATATGTTAACATATGGAAATAAACTGAATGCTGAAACCAAGGGCATCTACTAGTGATGTAATAACTGCACAAATTAATTAAATACTTATTTTGTAACCATTTAAAATTACATCAACGTTATTGAGACTAATTATAATACTTAGTAGACATATTGTAATATATTATTTACTCGATATTATGTCTTTATATCAATGTATGTTTCATTTTTCAACAATATTTCAGAGAATTCACATTACATATCCTAAGTGACAATGTCACTATGTAAATAATGACATGTCTATTTTATAACAATACATAAGTAGACTAGGGATTTTACCTTTTATATGCCATTATACTCCAATCATTCAATTCTATATTCTACTACTATTAAATAAAGTTTAAATTTGTTTGTAGATCTGTTTCATAATATTTTAGTTTGTTTTGTTAATGTGTGAGGTTCTCTTTTTATAGTTAAGTATGTCAAGTGTTGAGTACAATTTACAATATAACTTAGTGTTCGGAATACATATGGTGTGTAGTTATGGAAAAGAAAATTATTAAGTTCTTTAGTTGTACACTAAAATTCTAAATTAGATTTCAACTGAATTGTATGAGAAATATTTCTTAGAAAAGGCCATATACATATTGTTAAAAATATTGCGATTGTATCTCAAGTGACTATTAAGTTTTAAAGTTTCTTAATATCTGTTTTGTAGTGTTTTCTTGCAAGCCAATGACTTTCTTAATTTGCCACAAAATCATAGACGAAGTTGCAAATATCACTAAGTCAAATGTATATATATAAAAATTTATATAAAGATGTGTCTCCATTCTATGTTTCAGCCTTCACCAGCCAGTATGATGGTAGCGAGTACTATAATTACCGAAGACAGGAGTACAGAGGAGCTTCAAAAGAGATTCGGTGATTTATTAGATGAGAATTTTGTATTGAAGGAGACTTTGAAGCAAAACAACGACTCTATGAAGGAACAGTTCATACTGATAGCCTCGTGTCAGGAGGATATGCTGAAGACACACCGACTGCACAAGGAGAAGTTTGATGAGACGAGGGAGCTCGTTGAAAGGGTGAGGGTTTAATATTAAAATTATATGATAAGTGGAATATTTTGAGGTCTAAGAGTTTTGCGAGTATTCATTTAAATGAAACTACTATTGTTCAGATAAGTACGCGTATTTTATTATGTTTAACGGGCAGACGAGATGTTTGCCAACATCATGGTTGCTGCAAAATAACCAAAACGTCAAGAGTATGAAGTATATAATTTTTATAAAATAAGTGAAGTAATCACAAAATATTAGTTTCATTTAATTGAATACTTTTGGTTTTTTTAATAGTATTATATGATATTTTTATATCGATTTTTTTAAAACATATTTTCCAATTTTTGTTGATTTTAAATGAAATGGCATTGCAAATTTATACACTGTAAAGAATATTTTCTGCTGGCTGCATCTACAAATTATTCCCTTTGCATAAAGATATTAAACTATGCTGGCTAAATCTCTGAAAACAAAATATTTCTTTAATACTTAAATACTTGCTCTATAGATATAATTTTTACAACTACATATTATTAAGAGTATAAATATAAATTACATGTATATCAATAACAAAGCAATCCTGGCTTATACTGGACAAGTAAATATTACAATCATTTTCAGCTTAGACAAGAAAATAAGCAACTCAAACTGGATATATCACGTCTGGCCGAAGGAGAGCAGAACAGTATCGGCCAAAAGAAATTATCAGGCTTTGAACTAGTGACATCTGTTGAGGAAGATACTATTGAGAAGCTATCAGCACAGTTAGAACTAGTCGAGAAACAGAGACGACAGGTGATTTGAGTGTTGCCAATGTAGTCATTATATTAAAAGAGTATAGTGTTGCCAGTACAAATAATTCATATACAACAAACTATATTTTTCATCCAATTGCATTGCTCTGACTTATATTATGAATATGTTAATAATTAAAAGATTTAATTCAAACCTAGTCCAATTATTATAGTATTATGTTCAGGTTATTCTATGGTATTTTGATTTAATGGATAATTATGCAAACAATATTAATTATTATTTAATTATGAATAATTCCAGTTGATAGTTGACAATGAGAAGCTTAGTTGGCAGAAGGAGTCCCTAGAACATATAGTTGACTCCATGAACAAGGAGAGAGATGACGCCAAAAAGAAACTACACAAGGTTGAGGTAAGGAAACATTGAGATAAATACCTTACTACTACTTACTTAATTAACATTTTGAATTTTAATGCCATTTTATGATAGATTAAACATAATTTAGGATATTTAATTAAAATTTCATCATATAACAAAAGATTTAAATAAAATATACATATACATTTTCCAAAAAGGTTGTTTATATTTGTCCGAAAAAAGTTGATAAGAAAAATCTCGGTAATAAAAACTCAATATGTTACATGTGACCAAAGATCATTAGATTTCTTATAATACAATTTGTTTTTACTTAGTTTTCTGTGACTTACTAAGTTTTCTAAATATGTTTGAAACATGTTCTTCAATGTACTTTTAATACATACTAAGAAAACATATATAATTATTTTTTTCAGCTTCAACTCTCTACTATGGAGAATGATCATGCTCAGGAAGTTAGCAAACTGCACTGTATTATAAGTGACCTACAAAACAAAATTAAAACACAGAGTATGGTGTGTATCTAGTTGTTTTTAATATCAATTGTCTACTATATACATACAACTTGTTTTCCTTTCTTATAATTCATTTCTCTCTACCTTCAAGGGTAAATACAAGTGATATTGTCAATTACATGTTCATTTCCTATATTTTTTGATATACTTCTTAATTTTTTTGTTAAATAAATAATTATATTTTTGACTGAACCAGTTAAGTTGGGGAGCGTTCAAGTATTACGTAACGCGATTTTCGAAGATTTTTGACCCCCCTTCCCCCGTCGTAACGCACAGTAACGTTTTTCTGTAGCCCCCCCCCCCCCCCCCCTTCTCAAAACGTTACGTAACACTCAAGTGATCAATTTCATCAAAAGACTTACAATGCAATCTATGTATTCCCCGTAAAATATCAATTAAGAAGTTTGCAAACTTGGAATAACAAATAAAAATATCGACCACACTGATACAATCTGGTCAACAATGTAATGTATATGAAAAGAGTTGCCAGTTTGGGGGTTTTTATTAATATATTTTTTTAGAAACAATGCTACGTAACGTTTTGTACGAGACACCCCCTCCCGCCCCAGTAACGCATCGTAACGTTTTACGAGACCCCCCCCCCTCCCCCAAAATTGCGTTACGTAATACTTGAACGCTCCCTTGTATATAAAAAAAAAATATATCTACTGAAACTTGGTTTTATAGATAGATGTAAAATCCTACTAATGTACTGTTTTAAAATTATATATATCTTCCAGAATGCATCTCCGGAGGATATTTCTAAACGTGATGCGTACATACAGAAGTTGGAAGGGAAGATGTCCTTGTTACAGAATGAACTGAAGAAAGCTCAGATAAAGATTCTCGACCTGGAAAATATTAAGGTAATACATTAGTAATATACATTATGTGTGGATCCGATTAAAGTATATGGTGGCTTAAGCTGGTTTACCCCTACTACAAGTGTTACACTATCAGACAAGTACAGACAGTATCTAGTTTTCTATCATTTAGTAGGGGCCACATGACCTGGCAGGAGGTAGTAGATGATCAAATGCGATTTTTAGCGAGCACTTTAAGTGGACCCGTTATTTTTGTTACGTTTAAGTTCTGTTATTGATAAACATCAAAAATGTACACTTTTTGTTACACTTAGTGTACAAGCCCAAACATATCCCCACTACATTTAATCTTGTTAAGTCACATGTCGGCTAATATTTTATGTATATTTTTTAATCATGTGAATGAAAAATAAGAAGCTGAGCTTAATATAATAATATGTCCTAGTAGTGAGTGTGGTAAAATAAATAAAATAAATATCCAAATACTGTTTAATGATATATTGTTTTATTTTCAGTTGGAATTCAGCCAGCACAAGTCAAGTGTATCTGAGACGGTGAAGATGTACAAAGATCAGATCCAAGAACTGAAAGATAGAATAAAAGATGTTCAGACAACGGTTGGTAGACTTGGAGTTATACATTATGTGGTAGAAGAAGGAGATTTGTTACTGAGAATGGCGATGATAAAAATGATTGTCATTTAAATATATATTTTATTAATTTACAACTACATTCTCATAAAATAATAGAATAATAAAAAACGCGGTGTATGTTCGAATAATTTAGTTGCATTTAAATTGACACGTGAAAATTTCAAAGATGATAAGTTATAAATAATCTTACTATCACTATTGAGTTTGGCTTGTGTAGGGAAGATCGGATATAACCAAATCACAAAAATCGCAAGTCTATCATGAAACGAGAACCACCTGCCTCGTTATAGATGTGACTCAACAAGGCATGACACAACATTTTACATGCTGCATACAGCAATAATAAACATACCAGCTGATAGCTTTAGCCATAGATAGCTATATACAGGGTGACTGGTGAATTACTATCAATAATAAGAGAATACTCGGTACATGATTCTCATTCGAATTATGTAAAAAAAATAGGTACTTAATTTTTGACCAAATTTCCGTATAAATAAATAAAGTGTTGACACGTTCCAAGTGTTCCAAGTGTGGACGCGTGCGGCGGCGTGCTGATACAACACTACGCCGCCGCATGCGTATGTGTGTGTGAGTGTATACCTAATCTGTAGGGTGTGCACACGATGCGTAATTAATTACATAACTTTTGGTTAACTTTACTTAGAAGTTTATTAATATTTATGTTATATTAATTTTTATTTTGTCATATATGATCGTCAAATATCACGTCCTCAAGTATCGATAGTAATTCACCAGTCACCCTGTATAATAGCAATAATAATAACTCAGGTGTTTGTAGGTCAAACTTCGTTTGTATAATATGTATGTATGTGTGGCAGGTGTTCCAGCCGGTGCGCGTGTCCGTATCGGAAGGGTCGAGCGATTCGGCCGCCTTCCTCAACAACGTGAAGCTCTACGACCGGACGCTCAAACACCTAGCCGACTACCTCAACTCACTCAGCAACGGGTGAGAACACACAGACACACACAAACACATACACACAAACCCAGACATACACATATGACATAGACAAACACACGCATACATATAGTGTTACAAGTGGCGCCATCTACTTATTGTAATATATTTTAATACTTACAATTATATTTATGATTGATTATAAATTATAATTATTATTATAATAGTGAACTATAGACAATTATATGGCAACTTTTAAGTATTAACCCGTATTTGAAAACTATATTTACTAGCTTCAGTCATTTTTTAAAACATAACTGGGAGTAATGCTGAACGTTGAATAACAAATATGAAACTTTACCTTGGACTCATATACATACAATGTAAAGTGTGAACATATCAGGCAACATATTGTAGTCTTTTAATCTATACTACTTCTAGTACATATGTGTATTTATTTCATTTGTCTTTAAATACGTGTTAAAAAATTTCAACTACATATATTGAATTCAGAGTATCACACATTTAATAAAAATCTATACTTATAATAAATCTGTAGAGCGACCAATTCAATAATCAAGGAGTTACACGCTGACGGAGTCGCGGACACAGGTATCTTAATTTTTCTGCCAGAAGTCACTATTCCACGCGGGCGAAGTCGCGGACAAAAGCTTGTATTATAATAAATGATCTATGTATGGTACATTTATTTCACAGTATGTATGTATTATTCCAGGTTATCTGACAGTCTGGCTCACATTCTAGGCGTGGTGTCTAGTATACAGGATGTTAAAATGGACCGCGGCTCACTGGACCAAGTGAAGACTGGCCTCGCTGAGCTCAAGACACTCATCGCTACACAACACACTAACGTTGTGTCTAACGTGTACGGGTCATGTTATACTGGTTACTAGATTATATGACCCATGACTTTATATTAATACTAGTTTTTGCCGGCCACTTCGTCTGCGTTAATAATAAAATTAGAATAAATAGCTGATCAAGCGAGCTATATTCCTCCTTAAAGATAGTAGATAAAATTTTGGATTTATCAACTTATTTTTTTTTCTTTTTCAATCGGATGAAAAGTATCGTGAATCTTTTCCCTTGTTCTAATTTGTCTCTCAACCTTTCTATTTTCAGCCGTATAGCCAAAATCGTACAGCAGTTCTTGAATTATAATTAGTGTAACTAACATGACTTTCAAGTGTATGAATGTTCTAACTTTTGGTCAATAATGATGAAATATATTTCATATTTATATAATTATATTCTAGTTTAGTTCCAAGTCCAATTTTCGATATCTTACAATTTATATCAATGCACATATTTAATTACTATTTTTCTTCCATCAGAGGTCAAATCAAAGGCACGCTGTCCACGTTCGAGGGCATCTTTAAAGATCACAACGAACTGTTGAAGAAATCCGTCACCAACAACGACACGGTAGGAACTTTGTTACTAGTCACTTACTTAAATAGCCAATAATAAGCCACTCACTTATTATTCAGACAATTATATGTCACTCATTTAGCATTCATTCAATGATGACTTTTTATCTTGTATCCCACTTCTTATAGTCCTTTATGAACCTTCTATCCGGCTCGATTATTGTTAGTAAACTATTTATCCTATTATATACGTATTTATTCCCAGCTTATCTTAATAATGACAAGAGAATTTAAAATATATGTTAAAAATAACAGTCACATTAGACATAAGATTAATATAGATAATAATTTATAAAAATGACAAGGAAATGTACATTACACTAAGTCACGTGTCACACACTAGATGGAGCTGTCAGGTAGTGTCCATATACCATTTTACTGCAGCATATTTTTCAATGCTAATTTATATGTGTGTGTGTATATATATATATATATATATATATATAATCCGTGTTTCCCAGGTGCAGGCTCCGTGTGTGCAGCAGTTAACAGCGGCGCTCGTGGCTCGCGGACAGCAGGTGACCGCGCTACAAGACGAACTAGCAGCTGTGAAGACAAGGGTCGATGATACGGACCTACTGAGGGCACAGGTCGACCTGTACAGGTGAGAAACATGTTTTTGTGAGGGTCATGTTTTTGTGAGGGCCATGTTTTTGTGAGGGCCATGTTTTTTTATGTCAAAAGGAGGCAAAGGAGCAGACTGCCTACATGATGAGCAGTAGTTACCGTCGCTCATGGACATGCGACCTTGATTGTTGAGAAAAAGGGAGGGTTGGACTAGGGAAATAGTAGGTATGGGAGGGAATGGGGAAAAAGCAACCGACTCTCTCAATGATCAGACGAAACGCAGCCATTAAAGGCTACTTCATGCCGATTTTCTGTGAGAGGGTGGTACTTACGGTCGAGCCAGCCCATGTTCAAGATGTAGTAACTTGACTACATCTAGGCTCTACCACTTCTAAATGTACACTGGACATTAAAATAATAATCTATAATATACTTACTTCTTTACATTCATATATATTAGTCGGTACTCATGTGTCAAATATATTTATGACAAAACTATCACAATATAAAATAGATTTTTTTTTTATTATTTTGACTTATATTATCATTATATTTAAAGTAAGTTGATTATATGTGTATTAACTACTTAAGCTAGTACTGTTTCTATTTGAATTTTCACTTACAGAAGCGACTTCGAAGCTGAGAGGGAATCAAGGGCAAAGATGGCCAGCGAAAAAGAAAATTTACTCTCAGATCTTAGAGTGGCGCAGAAAAAGATACAGGATTTGACTACACAGGTATAACTTACAACACCTTATAGGGGAATAACACAGGCAGAACCGGGGACAGAGACTAAGTGATTCATGTCATCCTATCAGAGCCCAATGCTGTGCAAAGGCCTCTTTCTCACATGGACAAGGTTTGAGCATTAATCACCACGCTTGCTCAAGATGGGTTGGTGATTTCAAAATTATAACTTGAAATTATAAGTCCAGGTTTCCTCACGATGTTTTAATTCACCGGCTGTCAGTAGCGTCGAAATACTGACGCGTAAATTTTAGTATGGCGTATATTTACAAAGTCTCTCTTGTTTGATGTTATAATTCTGTGGTAGCACTTTACTGGCAAGTAATCGTCAATACATTCTACTCCTTCCTATTAAAAAAGTACTTTATAAGTTTGAGATATAAAATTATAAATACTCAAAATAAAACTATCTGTGTACTCGTATGATTGTGTTAAATCTTCTTCTTCTTCTTCCTGGCAATTTCCCAGCTTTAGCCAGGGTCTGCCTTCCCACACAAACGCCTCCACTTTGCCCGGTCTTTGGCATCCTCGGTGGTTAATCCATTGGCTCTCATGTCCTGCTTCACGATGTCCAGCCATCGCTTCTTTGGGCGTCCTGGGGGTCTCGCTCCAGGGACACACATATCAAGGCAAATCCTCCCGACGTAGTTCTCAGGCCGGCGTGCAACGTGGCCATACCATCTCAGGCGACTCTCTTCAAGCTTATCCGCTACGTCACGGACTCCAAGACTACCTCGGATGAATGTGTTACGTATGCGGTCAGCCCGCGTAACGCCACACATCCACCTCAGCATCTTCATCTCCGTGACGTGAAGCTCTTGAGTGTGCCTGGACAGTACTGGCCAACATTCGCTGCCATATAAGAGAACCGGTCGGATTATGCTCTTATATATTAGTCCCTTGAGCTTGGGCGGTATTCTGCGGTCGCAGACCACACCTGTGACCTCACGCCATTTCGCCCAAGCAGCGCTGATCCGGGCTTGGACATCGTGATCGATGCCTCCGGACTCATGCAGAATAGATCCAAGATACCTGAACTTCTCCGACTTAACGGCTGGTTCAGGACCTATATGGATGGTGCAAGAGTCCGGGCTCCCGCAAGCCATGTACTCGGTCTTCGACACATTTAGTTTAAGACCACCGTTCTCAAGCGCACCCTTCCAAAGGTTCACTCTCCGCTCCAGCGTCAGCCGGTCCTCGTCAATGAGCGCTATGTCATCGGCATACATCATCAGCCATGGAGGCTGGTCCTGGATGTTAGCCGAGACGGTGTCCAGCACTACATTGAATAAGAACGGGCTAAGAGCCGAGCCTTGGTGCACCCCTACTGAGATCGGGAAGGGTTTTGTATCGCCAACAGCAGTCCTAACCATGGAAACGGAATCGCGGTACATGTCTCTGATGATGTCAATATAGGCCTCAGGGATCCCTTTGGTTCGCAAAGCCCACCAGATACATTGACGAGGCACGCAGTCAAAGGCCTTCTGCAGATCTAGGAATGCGACATGCAGAGCTCTCCTTTTTTCCCTGTATGCCTCCATCAGGGTTCTGATGGCAAAAATGGCGTCCAAGGTGCCCGACCCAGGCTGAAATCCATATTGACACTCCGAGACAGTACACTCTCGGCGGAGCCTGATGTCGATCATGCGCTCAAAGAGCTTCATGGTGTGACTCATGATCTTAACGCCTCTATAACTACCGCAATCTTGAACACTGCCCCTACCTTTGTAAATGGGGGTAATGAAGCTATAACGCCACTGATGTGGCATAGTCCCAGTGTTCAAGATGCGGTTGAAAAGGTCCGTCAGTATGAGCACACCAAGAGAGCCCAATGATTTCCACGCTTCGATCGGAATATCGTCAGGTCCCACCGCTTTCCGATTCTTCATGCGTTGAAGACAATTCCGAGTTTCATCAGGTGTTATTGGGGCAATAAGTCCAAGATTAGGAGGTGGTTCGGTAGGAAGACTGCACGGGTGCTGAGTATTTAGCAACTCCTTGAAGTAGCATCTCCATCTCTCCTTCACAGAGGCATGATTACACAGCAGCGTGCCCTGGGAATCTTTGACGCAAAGACATTTTGCGATATCTTGCGTCGCTTTATCCCGAGCTCGGGCCAATTTGTAAATGAGCTTCTGCCCCTCCGCAGTTTCAAGTGTATCATATAACGGTGATAACCTGTCACTGCGGGCTCTGGCAACAGCCCTTTTACTGGCACGTTTCGCTGCTATGTACTCTAGTCTGTCTTCAGGAGAGTGTGATTGCTGCCACTCCTTAAAGGCAGCCTTTTTTTTGCGAATCACCTCCTGCACTTCGTCATTCCACCACCACGTCTCCCTGTCGATGACCCGTCCCCCCCTAGAAAGACCTAAAACTCGTTTACCTACCGTGATAATTGCTGACTGCACTCGATCCCAAGCTTCCTGAGCAGATTCGGTATGGGTCAACAGATTTTGACTCTCAACCGCTGCCCGAAAGTTGGTCTGCATCGTTCCATTCAGCAACCACCACCTGATCCGAGGCTCACGTTTCTCGGCTACTTTCTTTTTCGGGGTAACGACAAAGTCCATGACAAGAAGACGATGTTGGGCTGTCAGGCTTTCACCAGGAATGACTTTACAGTTAGTCACCTTGCCGATATGACACCGTCTGGTCAGCAGATAATCTAATTGGGTAGAGTGGGACCCACTTTTATACGTGATAAGGTGCTGCGAAGTCTGTTAAATATATTATTCAAATAGATAGGACTTTATATGACAAGATAAACCAATCACCAGCAACTATCACGTTTCTATATAAAATGATCATTAATTTTATTAACCGATGTATATCATTGTTTCAGTTGGAGGAGCTTCGTGTGTTAAGTCCGAGTCTACACAAGAGTATCACCAGTCCTCGCCCGCGGTCCGCTGTCAAGCCCACCACGACCACAAGTCCTACCACACGTACCACGACCACAAACAGTGTTGCAGCTAATACTGTGAGTATCACTTACTATATATAAAAACGTTATTTAGTCAAAATATTCCTATGAAATTCGAACCTGCGACTTCTACACGTCGCTCGTCGACCTTTTCTAATTTTTTAAGTATATTTTGATCTATCATAAAGTAATCTCTATTACATTAATGAGAAGAGATGCTACTTTGAATATTTTTAGATATAAGTTAAGTTTAAGATTAATTTGAATAAACTAAGGTTCGTAAGAAGAAGAAAATTGACAAGTCAGTAGTGGAGGCTACTCGTGAGACGACCCCGCCGCCCGTACGATACACGTGCCCCGCGTGTGATGAGAGCTTCAAGACTTATATGATGCTGGAGAAACATGTAGACGAGTGTGTGCTGTAGACACACACACACAGATACACGCACTCACACATGAATATGAGAATGACATTAGCCGAATTGTTATAAGCCGTTCTGTTTAGCCGGTCCGTTAAACGATGCCAAATATATTTTTAAGTTCACATTTAAACATGACAACAAAATAAAGAGTATGTAAAGTGCATTGAAGTGAATAATTGTTGATGAAATTATTTTAGCTAAATGGTTATGTTAATGTTATAGCTAATAGAATATTCGCGTGAAATACGTAGGTTACTACATAAATTTTGGTCGTAGTTTTCAGTATAATTTCCATCAACTCTAAAACATGTTCATAATCGTTCAAACCATGCACAAAAAACTGCGTTTGTAAGCTGTTCTTCATTATAAAACTTGTGTCCTTTTAATTGTTTCTTCGTGTAAAGAAAAAAATCTAAATCACACAGAGCTAAGTGTGGAATGTAAGGAAAATATAAAAGTAATTTCACTCCAACTTCATAAGTAAATGGTTTTTTTACAAGCTCCATGCAGGAGCGTTATCCTGATGCAAAAACTAAGTCGACTCTTAAGTACGATCCTAAAACTTTTAAAAAAAGATTTTCTGTGTAGCTAATTGCTACTGCCCTGCCTTTTCTATAGGCATCAAGGAAGGACAAGTTTCTACTGATTCATCGCTCATATCTGAGACACATTGTTATTTAGTTAAGCCACGCTTAAATTTACACGAGATGATTTAGTTGCCACGAATAAGTTCCGTCACATTTAAATTTCAAAAAAACGCAATATTTTTTTGCAGAAGCAAAGATACTTTACATCATAAAATTTATTTTGTTGTTAGTATGGTTTTATACATCTACCCTCATCTAAACAATATCTTACAATTATTTTGCCTACAACAAAACTTATGTAGTGACCTACATATATAATTGTAGTCTTTTTGATTGACATGTTACATAATTTATTGTTTTTATAATATTAGTTTAATCATTATGAAGTATTCTAATAACAAAGTACAATGTGTTCATATTTTTTTGACTTGTTATATCTACCTTAATACAAATGTATTTAATTTTTTCTTGTCGTATTTTATTATTATAATTGTAATACAATTTAACTGTATAGATAATACATGTAATGTTTCAAACTTGACAAGTGACGTTTAATGATGATAAAAAAATACCTTAGACATATATTAAACCTTTTTGATATGTTTACTTAATGATTGAATATTTATATATATGTTTGTCTAATTTGTTATGAAACTTATATATTTATATAATTTACATGTATTTAAAACAGTTTCCATTGAAATGCATTTTTATTATGAACATTTATTACATGAAAAGTATATATAAATATGATTAAGTGATGTTTTTTATTTTTAATTGAATATAAATCAAAACAAGTAATAATAGGTGAGAAACATTCAATTAGTTTGATGTTTGATTGTTTATAAATTTTTATGTGTTTTTTATTAATGCGTTGTGTCTCTTTCTAATAGCATGACAGAGAGTGAGATGAAATATATTAATATAGGAATGACGCTATTGTATAATAAAATTATGGCTTACATTATGTTTGTTGTTATATATACATATATACATATGTGTGTGATTGTTCATATATAACTTCACTTTAAGTCTAAAGCACTTAATAATTAGTAGAGTGTGGTTATATATGAACTCTTTCTAACACAATAGTATATCAAATATGTTTATATATTAATATTTGATCGTATGTCCCCAGGCCTTCCGATGTCCTAAGTGCATGATGTTCTCCAGCGATCAATACAACCTAATGGAGGAGCACTTCGAATACTGTTTAGACGACTTTTAATATTAACACTGTTGTAAAGGAAATTAAAAAGGACGGTTAGGTTTGTATATGATCTCTAGCTGACGATTATATGGAGTTTGTAGATTAGAGAATTATATAAAGTTATGGAAATAACAAAAGATAGTCCAATTAAAATAATATTAAATCAATTTTGTTGACATATTTGTCATATCGTTCCAATTTTTTCATTCAAATACTAAGTCACGCCTGTGATTGGTTTAAATTGTGTGACGTCATAAAACCCCCGTCACGTGACATATAACTGAAATGCCGAGCTCTGATTGGTCAAAATATAATTGAGTATTAAGTTATGACCGCCATTAAGTCGGCTGTAGTTACCATGTTTGTTTAAGAGATGTTTCCTTGTTTGTGATATGAAATTAAAATTATTTGTTTACATGTAAGATAATTAACATTACAACTTGTGATATGATAATTATAATAAAAATATTATGTTAGATACTTTCTTTATAAATGTATACGACGAAATGTAATATGATTTACTAGTGACTTTGAAATATTCGTAAAATAAATGAATTATATAGAAAACATTCTATCTGTGTACGAAATTCAAAATGTCCTTTATTTTCTACACCTTTGTATCTAAACGTAATTTATGTATTTAATAATAATAAATATCTTATAAAATGACTTTAGTTATACATTTTAATGAGTTATTAACGCACATTGCATAAGAAGCGAACTATATCAGAACGGAGGCGCCTATATTATGTTAATTACTTGATACTACGACTATAGTATGTAAATATATATATGTATGAATATATTTATAATTTATTATCAGTAGTATTTAAACCCCGAACGTTTAATGATTCATGTGATGACGTCATCATGCCCCCAAAATGTTACGTGAGTATTCAATAATTGCTGTTATTTTAATGATGACCGGGAATTCCCTTAATTACATTTTGATTTTTAAATTTTCTTTGGAGTTATTTTTGGATATACAAAAGTCTTGTAAATATGAGTGCAACATTCAAGGTTTATGTAATTTCAAAATAAAAAGGGGTTGATTTTAGAAAAACGACAGATTATATTTTTATATATATGAATATGTACCGCTTCCAATAAATAAAATATCATACCTTATATATTGTAAAAATACTTTATGTATGTTTATAATAAAAATATAAATAAAATATTATCAATTTGTGTTTCATTATAAACAGGAGATTTGATTAAACGAAATTATTTATATTTATATAAGTATGACGAAACCAAATAAAAAAAATAGTTTAGGTAATAATTTGTTTTTGATTACTAAGACTGTTCATTGTTATTACCATAGAAAATATAATTATAAATAATAATGTAACAATGATGTAATTTCATTTTGTAATATATAATGTAATAAATTTTATTGATTAAAAATCTTTTATTTTCGACTTAATAACTGAACAGTAAGACGTTCGATGTTGTGTTTTAATGATTTTTTTTTCAATTAGATTATTTCGTCACGAAAATATTTTGAATATTATTCCATAATTAAATTTAAAAAACAGTAATTCTGTCCAAAAATAGCAAAAAAATTGTTGAAAAATGAAATTGTTTTTATACGGCAACATCTTTAGTTTTTTATTCGTGAAGTAAAGTAGTATTAAATACATAATACTATTCGTAGTATTGAGTGTAATATTTAAATTAAATGTGTATGTATACAATACAAATAAATACTCCTTTTTAAAATAAAATAGGGTAAGAACAATAATAATGCGTTGATCATTTTCAAATTGAAATATATTTCATGAACCCGTAGCGTTTCTTAGCTGTTTTATATAAAATTTATACAAATAGATTAATATTTTACTAAAAACATTATAATAATTTCACAGGCCATTCATAAATTTATATAAATTCGTTAAAACTACACACATCGGGACATTGTTGGCACCATTCATGTTAACGGGCGAAGAAGGACCGACTACTCGGTCGAGAAACGCTAGATTTACGTGAGATTCAGACAGAAGAGAACGAAGGACCTCATTAGACTGGTCGTAAGTATAAACCGCTCCTCACAGACGAACGTGTGAGACTATACTGGCACCGGGTTGGTCGAAGATCACCACCGAATAAATAATTATACAGTAACAAATAAATAGTTCGGAAGTTGAATATAAAAATAATAATTCAATATAAATAACTACAAACTAACATGTAGGGACTTAAATCGTGATACCGGGACGATAGAGCGACTTGACCCTCACTCCTCAACTTAGGGCTCTCGCCGCTCTACCGTCGATCTTGGCCAAACAAAATGTGCATTAAATACATTGCGTCCAATAAAACTATACTTAAAAAAATAAGAATACATACAAAAAAAAACAATTGGAGCTAAAATAATAACTATATATTACAGAGACTTATTTAGTTACATGTCGAATACCGTTCACTGTTAAAGAACACTAAACGTAAGCATTACAATTTTGATTAAAAAAAAAGCGTAAATCTAAATACTGTGTTTGGAATGCATTACGAAAATACATTAAAAATGACGAATCAGTCGGAGTTTTAAGAAGAATGAATGTTGGGGAGCATCCCGACGGAGAGGGACGCGTCCGATAAAACAAATCTCAAATACAATACACTCCCGAAGCTCACAACACTTAATATATGTCCGTATAACTAATTACAATAACATAACATTAGTTGCATCCATAAAATTAATTTATGTCGCATTTAGACTAGAATACGTTGAGGGTAGAAAGCTGCCGTCCGAGGATCCGCGCGGGCGACCTAGCTGCGGGTGAGTGGTTGTGTGCGTTAGCGTTTACCGATGAAGTCGATCATTTGATCAAGCTGTTCCTCCTCGTCGTAGAGGTACAAGGACTCCATGCAGCCCTTGAAGTAGGGCGACGTGAAGCATTTGGACCTGAGAACGAACTGGCGCGTTACTCACTGACAGACACTTGAGAGAATCATAAGATAACATGCACTGGTTATATAAAGTGGCATACAATCTAAACTACTGAAATAAGTGCTCTGAATAACAGATTAATTAAAGGAAAATCGAAGAAAATATCTTATTATAAAAGCATAAAACTATTTAGGGCGTAAGATTTTATCCAAGGGATCATTATAATAAAAAAGGTGCTCATTCATGTGAAAGGCTAACTACGAGATATTATAACTACAATAAAATGTCATAACATTATTATTTACTTGATAAGTGTAATAAGTAAGCTGTATTTATATTAGGAAAGGTATTGTCGGGTTGTGACAAGTCATTAAAGATTTTATAATAGAGCAAACTAAGAGTAAAACTATGTAAAGAGGTGCGTACAGCATGCTGTTAGTGTTGAAGCTGTGTCTAATATACTTAGAACGAAGATGAAGAGTTAAAAGTCGAAGACCCAAAGCCAAACTCAGAGAGATTCACGAACTGTCGTTGATTGAAAATCGCAGTAAAATTATTACATCATAGTCTACTTTAGTACGAGGAAATCTTGAATAATTTATACAGAGACCACTCGAGACAGAGGATTTATAAAGAATCTTATCTTTGGACGTTCGTTGATTATGTTTTCTATAATCCCATACAATGACGACTTGTGGTTTATCAAAATCTTAGAATACTTCTCGACTATCGAGTACCGAATATTATCAAAGAGCTTCTTAATGATAGCACTAAAAATACTGCGAATTTCGACAAAAACTGACAGAGGTGAGGTAACCCAGCCCGAGCCGAAGATAGACAAAGTAATCCAAACTCTTGAGGGTACCTAAATCCCTGGATCCGCTCCGTGTAACTGTTTTATATACGTCTTGAACAGTTCGAGCTGGTCCGTCTCTTGGAGCACCTCCACGCAGCCCTTGAAGTAATCTGTCGTGAAACAGTCTTGCCTGTGTCCCAACAACATCAACATTTAATATACATTACACATAACACATTAAACATAATATGATCACTGAAAAACGTCACAAGATGTTTGTGTGGGGCGTGAAGCGAACCTGCAGAGAGTGAAGAGGGTCGGCTCCCTGAAGAGGTTGTAGCAGTCGTCACAGATACGGTCCAGGCGGGCGAAGATGGCCGCGTCGTACACTCCCTTACACTGGAGGTTGAAGAAGGAGCGGCGGGCGACGTGGTGGGGGGTGGAGGGGGGCGCGGCCGACACCAGCGACACCAGCGCCACCAGCAACACGGACACCAGCTGGACTGAGCTTAGATGCATCTGGAAACAACACGCAGCGGTGACGTCATCACTAACACACACACGCACACACACACACACACACACACACACACACACAGACTCGCCTCGGACAGATCTCTCAGATAACCGATGATAAGACTATACGTTAAACTCATATCGTAATGCCGGAAGGCGAATATAAATTATTATCGGTTATGACTCAAGACTTTCATTAATTTAGACAAAAGAAAAAGTTCATTTGGATATACAAAATTGGCCCGGTCATGACTTATCGGAGTGCAGAACATTAATTTTAATGGTTTTCATAATAATTAAAAAAAAATAACTTAAACCGTTAAGTTTTAAAACAGTCATGAATAAAAATTTATTTGATCGTAATCATTGTGAAAGGAAAATAAGTTTTAAAGAAATCAATATTAAATGACGTTGTTAAATATAAATATCAGTCTGTCCGCTCTCAAAGACACTTCCTAGTTCATTAAATATTTATGATAGCGATTGAAAAATATAAAGCATTTTCTAAATGACATACATAATGTATGTCAACGGCGCAGAAGAACGTGTCCATATAAAAATGGCTTATAATTTATAATTAGATAAATACGTACTTAAACTAATTTATATATGATTAAACATTGCAGAACAAATAAATGTTCTTGATGTTTTATGAACGTGTTCTGATTATAACTTGCTTTGGATTTTTTATTACGAGACTCAATAGAACATATATTTATATATATAATTTATTTGATAACAGAAACAGCTGCTTTTCTCAGTACTGTGTTTTAACAGAGTCCGAAAATTTTAATAACTGTATATAGTTTGTAAGTCGTCAAGTGATTGAGACGTCTCTGAACAACAGAAAGTACCATCATTACATAAGATTGTACTTCATTATTTAACATTCACAAATCTAAGTTAGTTCGCAATATAAAACTTAATATTTCGTAATGATTTAATGTAGTCATTAAAGTATATTTAATTGGCAAGTTATTAGTCGCGGTATAATAAAAACATAAAATATAAAAGCGATTACAACAGAACCAGTTCCTAGCGAGCTTGGTTGGTTGAGCGATTAACTTAAGTGGACAAGCATAGAGTGTAAACAGGCCGCGGGGAGTACGGAGACCACCGGCCACCGGCCACCGGCCACCAGCCACCGGCCACCAGCCACCGGCCACCAGCCTGGTGCATCTAAACACAGCCTTCACACTGCTATCGATTCACCTATTTGCAATAAACAATGCGAATAATGGCCGGCGTGTGTGGCATCGGTTCCTCGTTTTAAACCTGTTCCCTGTAGTCTGTACACACGAGAGCCGCATACGATTTAAAAACACCCTAATGTTAGGAAAGTTATTACAAGTTAGTATTACAGCTCGTAAAAACTAAGCTAGTTTTAATAAGAATATTGACTAGGTATATATTGAATATAACGTGTTAATATAGACTGTTCTAGAAGTCGCTGTTCCTGATGTATGTTTGTTAGTATTCATATTTATTCGTATGTACGGAACATGTGTTCATGTCGGACCGTCGTACTCAATCGTTGCTTTGTTGGTTTGCTTAACGTGAGCCCGGTTCAACCTACACTCGCAATAATACCTACCTAGCTAATATTACGGATTTGTCAAAAATGTTGCTGACACCTGTCAACTGTCACATGTCACATTTCACGTATGTAATGAAAAAAAAACGGCGGTAATATTTTAGCGAGACTTGATAACTCAAAACCAGATCACTGTCTTTGTTTTGCTAAGCAGTGACCATTGAATGAATATAGTTTTGTTGTTGTATATATAACGTTCTGTGTGTGTGTGTGTGTGTGCGTGTGTGCGTGCGGCGCTCGAGGCGTGTGATTCATGTGGCGGCTCAATAAAGATATTATACGGAGGAGGTCGTTTCGCGTGAGAACAGAACAGACTCACGAGCATAACCAAACTGAATCTTCTAGACTATGTAGTGTTCACTTTATAAATATAATCATCTTGTATTCATTACTGTTAACTTGTCTACAGCTCGTGTGCTCACGTTACTGTAGCCTCGTCTCGCATTGCTTGTGTCGTTAAATAAAATCACTTTGTAACAAAGCAACATACTTTTAAAATTAGGATCATTTAATAATATACATTCTCTCGATAGTTTTAATGGTATGGTTACTGAAACTAAATGAAAAGTTACTTTAAAGTTAGAAAGAGATAACGATATATTAGAATTACAAATTCGAGTTTTTATAAAGAGAATTATTTTCATACAAACTGTCAACATAATTGGACGACTATGATACTTATAGATGCTATTTTGCGTATCAAATTATGTATAGTTTTAAAAATCATGTTAAACAAATGTAATAGTACTGAATATAACATTTAAATAATCTCTTCTGGACGTCATTAGAAAAAACAATAGGAAATTAAACGGCGGAGATAAACTAATGTATTGGAAATGGTTTAAAATAATTCGTTACGGTTGAATATTTTTTTAAAATACATAATCTACATAGAGAATTGTGTTGTTTTTAATGAATGAACCTGTATTTTATTTAACATCTGTTGCAACGCTATCATCTCGATGGCGGGAATGTCTCACGGGGCGGCCATTAAGAGAGTTGATAAAGTTAAGGTCGACACACGACGAACTGTTTTTTAAGGATTAAAAGTAATTGTATACGACAGAGGGACGCGGTTCGATAACTTAACGGGTTTCTATTGATTTTTGATTGATTGTATCGCCACGGACAGTATAAAGTATTGCTTTGTTCCGTCCTGTTTTTTTTTTACATCCGTCGTCAGCGAGCCAAGGTTTTATTTTTAGGGTTTTTTATCGTGCATTATATAAAACCTTGATGTAGCCAATGTTTATTCCGAGGGCTGTACCTGGCCGCTGCGTCGCTCTCACGCACTTAGATGCATACTAATGCGTCGGCCGCTAGACTGCGGGGCTGCGGGGCCGACACCCGACACACAGGGCTGGCGACACGCCAATTATTATATTAAAATACGCTTTAATAAATATAAATATGATTTTTAATATTTTATATATTAATAATATTATTATTCAATAATAATGGCTTCATTATATGTGTTATACTTTATGTGTATATTATGTATATGTGATGTTTTTTTTATCGAGCGTCGTCAGCCCTGCGGCCGTATGAAATGCGTCCAAGCTTTACCATATAAAAAGTTAAGGTATGTTTTTTAAGGAATGCGGTCTATAATTGCAGTCAGCTGCGTTTATCTCCAGCACCGTATACTTTGTTTGTAAGGATATTATCAGTGACACGTTGCGCCCGCGCTGGAGAGAATCTCACAGTCTTTTTATTATTCTTTGACATCTAATAAAACCGCCTCATCACTTTATATTTAGCGAAACTATATTAATATATTAATAATAATTTCATACTATTCTTTGAAATGTACGATACATTTTTAGTGTATATATAGGAACGTAGTTTTGTATATTGTAAGTTACAAAGACATTTTAAATAACTTGCCGACAACATCTGCGGCTCGCGATCGAAATAAACTCATTTTATCTTGTGTTTACAAAAAAGCGAGCTTTGGAATCCTTATTCACAATGACCAGTATAAGTTGACCCGCCTCCCCTTCAATTTACAAGTGAATGATATATCAGTTATCTCAAATGGTTTAAGTCTCACGTATTAATAATTAAATATTATAAAAGTCAAGTTTATAATTATTAATGTTAATAAGATCTTTATTTTATTGTTCTGCAGTGAAATTGAACGCTAGCGTCAAAGTAACGCCACGTCTCATGATATACTGGTCCCTTGACCCAGTTGTCTCATAGAGAATAAATAAGTCATTATACTCATTCTTCTCATCCTTTAATGATTAAATTCTTAAAAACTACTTTTTTAACACATATACAACCTTTTTGGTACTCATCTAGAGTGTTCCAATGTTATCGGCTGTTCAGTTAATTCAGATTAATATAAATTAAAAAAAAAACTTCTAACTCAAAACACTTACATAACTTCAATATTTATTATTTCATTATAAATTCAAACACAAATTTTATATGTATTTTTTTACGATTTTGATATAATTCAAGCAGTCATTATATTTTCTTTTAATTATTTTTAAACAATGCTCTAACTACGTCTGAATCCTTTGTCAACCTTCAGTATGACCTTTGCGCGCGCATCGAGTCTAATTTGACATTTCAATTACTTAATTACTTCACAGGCACCGGTTGAGCGTTCTGCATTTCAAAGAGGTCGATTAGAAGTGTATTAACAACATTTTCATAGTTTGAATTATGCTATATTGTATCGAGAATGACTAACTATTGAGAGGCCGGCCATTGGAGGCCCGAGCAATTAGCCACGTGCGTGTATGTGGGTCAAAGGAATTAGACTCGTACCACACTGTCGCGAAATTAATGGATATAGAGAATGAATATAATCTGTGGATACTAATAAAATATATTTTTAATCTATTTATTTTTGACCAAGAATGTCTTTTTCTGATTTATTCCAATTATATCTCATTGTACCATAGTTACGAAACACTATATGTGAAAGTGCAGTCACATGTTAAAATAGTTACTACACTTGAGTGAAATCCGAAATGTTACATTTACATTCACAACATGTTTAGTTCAATGCATTACGATTCCTAGAATACATATTTATTATTCGGTGATGCAATCCTTAAATACTTAATAACTATAAAAATATAGATTGAAGTTTAAATATATAAAACCTTCTTCAATCCCCACAGATAACATTTAAATTAACTTTAAATATCTATAAAATCATAGATAATAAATAGTGTTCTAAGAATAAGTCAAACGTCCATTACAGAGATATTACAATTAATGGATGTAATTGATGCTAAGACTGGATCCGTCATTATGGAGTATCATTAATACGAGACGAGCAAACAAAGATCATTGGACAATTAAAAACTATATATACATCACTATTACCGATTCATTACGGTTAATTTCATACTAATATTTGTATAAAAAGATCTGTAAAATAATAGTG